AGCAGCACTCAGCCGTCCTCCATGTCCTGCTCTAATGGTGAGGTGCCCATAAAGCTGTGGACTTTATTGCTTCTGTCTGTCTGAAGAGGCAGGGCTCTGTCCATTCTCCCACGGCGCCGTACGCTGAGAGCTTTCCTTTGGCATGGCAGGATGTGAGGAAGAGGAGTGGCTGCCAGGACGTCTCAGAGCTGCTCTGGTGGAGCTTCATCTGCTCGACTCAGACGAGTCGTTTTCTGAGCCGTCATCTTCCCTCCGCTGTCAGAGTGTGGACAGAATAGTGATTTAGAGGAGAGAAGATAACAGCTGCTCCTCCAAGACGCTGTGGCAGCCGGAGCATCTCCAGGTACAGTTCACACCAGTGTTCCCAGTCTGGATGTTGGCTTTGCTTGGTAGAGCTTTGCAGGCATAGACCATGTAGACCACCAAGCATACCTGGAGCGACAGTAGAGAGGAAAACTCCCTTTGAACAGGAAGAAACCTCCAGCAGAACCAGGCTCAGTGTGAGCGGCCATCTGCTGAGGCCCACTTGGGTTCAAGGAGACAGAAGCAGACATGTTAGCCCGGCTGTTAGCCTGGATGTTAGCCCGGCTGTTAGTTTAGATGTTAGCCCAGCTGTTAGCCTAGATTTTAGCCTACATGTTAGCCTACATGTTAGCCCGGCTGTTAGCCTAGATGTTAGCCCAGCTGTTAGTCTGGATGCAAGCCTGGCTGTTAGCCTAGATGTTAGCCCGGCTGTTAGTCTGGATGCAAGCCTGGCTGTTAGCCTAGATGTTAGCCCGGCTGTTAGTTTAGATGTTAGCCCAGCTGTTAGCCTAGATGTTAGCCCAGCTGTTAGCCTAGATGTTAGCCTACATGTTAGCCTACATGTTAGCCCGGCTGTTAGCCTAGATGTTAGCCCGGCTGTTAGCCTAGATGTTAGCCCGGCTGTTAGCCTAGATGTTAGCCCGGCTGTTAGTTTGGATGCTAGCCTGGCTGTTAGCCCGGCTTTTACTCTAGACAGTAGCCTGGATGCTAGCCCAGCTGTTAGTCTGGATGCTAGCCAGGCTGTTAGCCTGGAAGTTAGCCTGGCTGTTAGGCTTGATATTAGCCCTGCTGTTAACCTGACTGTTAGTCTGGATGTTAACCAGGCTGTTGGCCTAGACGTTGGCCGCGCTGTTAGTCTGAACATTAGCTCAGATTTAAGCCTGGACGTTAGCCCGAATGTTAGCCTGGCTGTTAGCCTAGATGTTAGCCTAGATGTTAGCCTGGCTGTTAGCCATGAGGTTAGCTTGGCAGCTATCCTTGTTGTTGTCCAGTGGAGCTATCTAGCTGCATCAAATAAATCACCATGGTAATTGAATCAATCCCAGCTAAATCCTCCATCTTGGTCCAGTGACCGGTACAGGCCCTGAACCGTTTCTGCAGCCAGCTAGCAGTTCATTAGTGAGAGCTCGCTGGGTCTGTTCAGGCTGCACGTAGAACCCAGACACAGCCTTCATGTTCCTCATATGTCCATCAGTGAGAAGATGCTGGAGGACCTTCAGCCTCTCAGGTTGATGAAGACTCCTGATCCTTTCCACAGCATCACAGGGAGGAGTTTCCTAAAGCTGCTCCCATATCAGCAGCTGCCTCCATGTTGCTGCCAGCCGTCAATCAGCTACCAGCTGACCTCATGCTAATGTTCAGAAGCGGCTGGAGAATGTAGGACCTCGGGGGGGGGGGGGGGGGGGGGGGGGGGACAGTAGGGAGAACTGGCGGAGAAGAAAAGGCTGTGGCCTTTCTGACGGACGGAGGAAGGAGGCGGGCAGCAGGTGGTCCACAGGGAGCAGATCTCCATGGATTCTGACCGCGGTGACATTTGGTGACATTTAGAGCAAAACACGACTATGATGGCTGACCTTAAACATCAGGCAGCGACAGGCCGTTCTACATGTTAACGCAGGCACAGGATCACGCCTGGGTGCTGGAAACAGGAGTTCCAGATGTTTCCTCTCATGCCTCATTTATAGCTTTTTAAAAGCTGCATGCTGCTCCTCCTCCTCCAGAAGCTCGGCGTTCCTCCTTTCTTCATGCCTTATTTACCGCCATACTGCTGATGGTCTTTGTAGTGACGGTTCTTCAGGGATGTTATTGGCCATCAGAGTCAGAGTTGTTCAGTCCAGGCGTGTAGCTCATCTCCTCCTAACAGATGCAGACGGTGAATTGCTTCTCTGCACACAGTCTGGAACCTAAAAGCAGTGTGTCAGCGTTTAGACAGGCTCATGGAGGCTGGTAAAACTATGATGAAGTTCTCTCAGAACCATCGGATCTGTTCGCTGCATGTTCTACATTAAAAAGCTTTTCTTTAGAGCGTCTCAGTGGTTCCTCTGTAGCTGAGAATGAAGGCGACAGGCTGCTGTTAGTGTGAAACTGAAACCTTTCCGTCTGTTCTTGTTTCTCAGTAGCTGCTGCAGAAAATGAAAAATCCCAGCATGGCTATTCTAGAGAAGCTGAAACTCAGACTTTGTCCGTCTGCCTTCAGCTTTTTCTCTCTTTTCTTCCCCACTGAGGCTTTATCCTCCCAGAAACAACCTTTACTTTAACTGGAGCAGCTGGATGCAGGAGTCTGAAATCAAAGTCATCTTAGACTTTTATTGTGGTTTATTGTCATTTTCTATAATCGGTATGATCTGAGAGGAAGTCTTTGGAAACCGGTATGATTTATCAGACTCAGTGGTCGACATGAACTCTAGTGGAAGCTGATGGTTTATGGCTGTAGGTTCCCGTCTCTTGGAGCGTGGTCCTTTCTGTCCTGCATTAGAATACTTCAGATTTTCTCCCATCAGGTTTTCCTGGGAATGATTGTTTCCTACTGAGGCGCTGATTGAAGGCCAGGGAAGTGATGCAAAGGTCCTGGTTTGAGTCTGGAGGTGGTGGGGCTCTGAGGGCCGTGGGGGGTTCTGTGTGGGGAGGGTCCATGTCGTTGGGTTAAGGGTCACGGCTGCTCACTGACTGCATCTCCAGACGGGTTTAACATGAATCTTTCTGAATGGAAACGTGTCTTTGATCCCAGAATATAAAACATTTTCAAAAAGCTGTCAAACCTTCTAATGAAGGAAAAAGGGCTGTGCTGTGATTGGCTGAATGTTCTCTGAGATTCAGACACAGTCCTAACTTAATGACTCTGACAGGAGATAACGATGGTTCTCCAGGCTTTATGGAGGTTTCCGTCCCAGTCTGTCCTCTGCTGCTAACGGGGAATCATCCTCCTCATATCGCATCGCTGCCATCTCTCTGGTTCTTGTGACTTAGAATCACAGTAGAGATGTGAAGCTGCTTCCCTTCTGCTGCGTTTTTCCCCATATTATGGTTTGATGTTGCTTTAAAACGCTGTGGTTGCCTTCTGATGATGACATCATCCACGTTCTGAGCGGCCTTCTGGTTGCAGATGGTTTAACTCAGCTGCTGGACAGAAAGCGTGAAAAGGTGCAGAGAACACAGACCTCCCTGCAGGCAGATGGACTTATTCAGACATTTAAGAAGGTTCTAATTATCCTAAATTAAAGTATGAATTCAATAATTTTAGCAAGTCATTCTGAGGTTTCCCATATTAATAATAATAGCTTAAAGGTAAATCTTTGCTCCAGTCAGTTTATTTAACGTCATATTTTCATACTGAGATGTTTTCACAGCCTCTGCTGGTGATAAAAACTGCTTTAAATGCTGTTTTATGACTAAATACATGCAGGAAACGCATCATTGTTCTTCTAAACATTATTCAGCAAAATGCTATTAAAGAAAACATTTTCTGTGATGTTGGAAATGTTTAGTGTTATATTCTGTCTGTGAATCATTTATTTTGTGGAAAACAAACGTGATCTTTATGACCCATTACTTCTGTCAGTTTGGCAGATTTACTCGTTTAGGTTCCAATTATTTTCCAACGAATCATCTCTAATTAGAAGAGAAATCAGTGGAAACATCAAACTAAATCTATTATTTATTTTTCCATTAGTCCCATTATGGGTCCCTCTCTAAAACTAATCGCACTCGTTTAAGAGGCGTTCCCTCAAATGGAGAGGGCGGGTCGTTTCTTACAGAAGAGGATTAGGGTCACTGAAAAACAAAAAAAGTTAACAGATTTTTAAATTTTATTTCAGTTTAACATGGGAATTCTGACTGAATTCTGACAATAAAAAAAGTCAGAATTCTGAGATTAAAGTTAGAATCTGTCTTTTTTCCCATGTTAAACTGAAATAAAATCAGTTACCTTTTTTTTTTTTTTTTTTTTTCAGTGGCCCTAATCCTCTTCCGTAGTTTCTAAATCTTCCTCAACACGTTTAATCAACTAAAGACGAAGCCTTTCCAGTCCAGGAGAGTAAAGTTGCTCCATTCAGACACTTCAAGCCATTTTCTTTCTCTCACCGGTTTTTAAAAACAAATTTGGATTTTTCCAATCAGACCGATCAATGAGACAAATCAGTTCACTTGGACGACTTTTATTGTCGTTAACTTAAATTTTGTTTTGTAATTGCTCTGTTTCAGAACATTTCCACTGATTAAAGCGCAGCAGTGGTCAAATGTAGATGTTTAGTTTATTTCTATAGCTCAGGTCTCGGTTCAGGCAGACCATCCAATCAGATTCCAGATGACATCACAGGGCCGGGGAGCCAGGATTGGTTGTTCTTCAGGTTATTTGACCAGTTTTTGTGGATCTGAGGAGAGGAACTGATCTGCATTCTCATCAGACAGCAGAGCTCATCAGAGGAGGAGCAAAGGGAAACAGATTCCCTCTTCTTTAACTCCGACAGGATTCCAAATTTCAAAATGTTCAGACATCGTTCAAGGCAGGAAAAAAATGAGATAGCAGAAAACAAAGAGGATCCAGAGGATGTCTCAGAGCAGCCTGCTGTTTATAGAAACAGGAGTCAGCAGTTATCTGCTGATGCAGCCTCTGACCAGGAGGAGTAAAGCTGCTCCTCCCTCCAGGCGGAGGACGGTCAGGAAGAGAGCCGCCTGTTTTAGGGCAGGATCTCTGCTGCAGCTCTGTAAACATCATGCTGAAGTTCAGGGTCACCCACGGCTCCAGGTGAGCTCTGCTGCACCGTCTGCAGGAAGCTGTCCTCACTTCTGGCTCCTCTCACAGCTTCCTCATGCAGACACCTTCTAACCTCCATGTTTTCTCTTTTCCTTCAGCCACAATGAACGGAAGGTGACCTGCAAGCACCCGGTGTCCGGCGTCCCGTCACAAGACAACTGCATCTTTGTGGTCAATGAACAGTAAGTCAGCGTGCAGCAGAAACACCCAGAGGCAGGTTGAAGTCTCAGTTAGACAGCCTCTCTGCGTTCCTCTTCACATCTCTAACTGGGAACTCAGAGGGTTGGATGGAAAGAGGCTCTAATAGCAGCAGTCTGCAACCTTTTCCAGGTCAAGGACCCCAAACTGATGGAGAGATGGAGCACGACCCCCTAATTATATATATTGTATGAAATAGTGTTCTATTAAACTGGTCCTATAGTCACTCTATTACAGATGGAGTAATGTAACTAAAGTAATCCCTCCCTGGGATTATTAAAGTATTTCTGAATCCTGGTTGATGGGACAGGTGTTGCGAATGAAACGGTGCCCAGCTTGAAAGATGGTAATGTATGTTTAAAGACATTTCAAGTATTGGAAAAAATTGCAGGGGGGGGGGGTTAAAAAAAAAATAATAAAAAAAACTTTTGCGACCCCCATGCAGTACCTCTGCGGAACCCCTAGGGGTTGCAGACCCCCTGTTGAAGACCTCCACTCTAAAGTGTTCAGGAGTTTAAAGATTTACAGCAGAAATGTTGTTGAATGTAGACTGCAAAAAATAAAAACGCATCAAAACCAATCAGAAAAACAAAAAGTTGATAAATTGAAATGAGGACTATTTTGTGTGTGTATTTATATATATATATATATATATATATATATATATATATATATACACACACACACTTATATTACAAGATAAGTGGAATTCATCATTCAAATTATTCAATAAAACAACATGTAACATAATATTATTTGCCATAAAAATGAATTTGTAACACATCAGCAGTGCTATATTCTCCTAACCCAGTGCTGTCGACATTAACATTGTTAACAAGGTCAAACAATAAAGGCGTAGATGATGTCATCATCCAAAGTTGTTCCGCCATCTTTAAGGATGAAGAGGCACCTTCCTCTTCACTGATAGCACCCTGTCTGACGGGAATATGGGGGCTGGGGTGGGGGGGATCAGAGCGGGCAAGGTTAGGCTAACGGGTTAGCATTGCTAACATTTTCTGAACTGTTGGCTAATGCTAATGCTTGAGGGCATTTGTAATTAGGTAATCAAAGATGTGGGTATGGGCAATTCTGATGAAAAAATAAGTGGTAATACGCCGTATACCCGTGTATACCATCAGCTCATTTGCCCAACCAGATATATACATCCCAGTTTCCATAAATAATGTACTTATGGTTCTAAAATTACTTATTTCCATCATTTATTGTTATTCTATCAGTTTATTTCTATGAAAATTGATGCTTTTTCCATTTTCTCTGTTAAACTGCTTCTCTGACGTCATCATGGGACATGCTCAGAGCGGTCCGGCTAAATCGGATCAAACCATGTTTATCTGCATTTTAGTTGTTTCTTTCTTTAGATTATGCACTATATATCATCATGTTAATACAAAAGGAAAACAAAACTCAAAAAGACTAGATTTATGTTTAAATCCAAAGCAGATAAAGTTGGCACCCGGAAGTGGCGTAGGATCCCATTTCCTGTACAGATAAAACAGAAAGGATTTTAATGCATTTATTTTCTCAGGTAATACATTATTAACCTTTAACACATTATAATTTAGGACACTTAATATTTTTAAGGAGGGAAAAACCTAATTTAGGTATTTTTTACAAATCAAAATTGTGGGCGACCCGGGTGGATATCTGACCTGATGGTAAGGATGGTGCTTCCGGGACGGGTGGGGTAGTGACAGACTCAGCCTGGACGCTGCTGCTCCACCCACTCCTGAACCTCCTGTGAAATCCCTCCTCTCTGTCCGTCTGTTCCAGACCAGCCAGGAAGGCCTCGGCTGAGCAGGAGGGCAGCGCTGAGCAGAAGGAGCGTCCCATGAGCATCATGAGTGAAGCTTCCAACTACACCGGTGGCTCCGATTACAGCCAGGCCCCCACCTCCATCTCCACCTCCACCAGGGTGAGGGTCCTCAGGCCTCACTCTGAACTTACAGATCAATGTTTCTGATTGAACGGTGAAAGATGATCCAATCTGTCCTTCTGAAGCCTTCCAGGCCGTCCAAGAAGATCCATAACTTTGGGAAGAGGTCGAACTCCATCAAGAGGAACCTGAATGCACCGGTGGTGAAGAAGAGCTGGCTGTATAAACAGGTAGAGTCCGTTTGGTTCTGGTTCTGAACATAGTCGATCTGTGGCGTGTCCTTCTGGTACCGCCCACATCCTGAGCCCAGACCAGCACCTTCATGGCCTCATTCATTAAGATCCAACTGACCGAAGGTTGGGCTCAATAGAAACGCCATTGGTGAGAAAATGTGCCAATCTTTAGACAGAACCGACCGGACTAGACTGGACCGGACCAGACTCAGGGAGGGGAGTCAGAGTGAAGCCTGATGGACCGTAACTCTTCTGACGTTAACACTACAAATTAACCTCCAAGTGTAGATGGAGTTTTCAGGAACCTGAATACTGGTCCAACTGAGCCGACCGGTTCTGTTCAGGTTCTGACCAATAGTCTGGGTCGGTCCTCAGAACACCTGGATGGAACCAGCAGGGAGGCGTTCCACTAACGTCACAGATGATCAAAGAGGAATGAATGAAGCTGTGGCTACAATGATCTGGAAGGACTGGTGGTTTGTACTGCTCTGGACCGGTTCAGACCAGTTTGTACTGGTTTGGATTGGTTGGGAACAATTTTTACCGCTTTGTACCAATTTGGATTGGTTTATAATGCTTTGGACCGGTTTGTACTGGTTTGGATCATTCAGAACGCTTTGGATTTGTTTGGAATGATTTATGCTGATTTGGACCGGTTCATACTGGTTTGTACTGGTTCAGACCAGTTTGGACCGGTTAGGACCTGTTTGTACCTCTTTGAACAGATTCATACTGATTTGGACCATTTAGGACCAATTTGAACTGGTGTGTACTGGTTTGGATTGGGTCGGACCGGTTCATACAGGTTTGGATCATCTGATCCATCCGACCAGATGATGCTGTTGCTCCCCTCCTCTCAGCTTTGGTTGCCATGGCAGTGATGGTATGGCTCATTCCTGTACTCGGGGACACTGATGGCTGAATGTGGGCCCCCAGTATCAGGAGGGTCCAAACGGCACTTTGGTTCTGCCTGTTGGCCTGGTTCTCCTATAGGAGGAGCCCAGTTCCACCACAGCAGGGTGGAGCAGAACCACACTGAGGGAGGAAGAGGAGGGTGAAGAAGGATATGTCTGTATCTAAAACATCTGACCTTTGACCCCTACAGGACAGCAGCGGCATGAAGCTGTGGAAGAAGAGGTGGTTCGTTCTGTCTGATCTGTGTCTTTTCTACTACCGTGGTGAGAACACACACACACACACACTCTCATGTCTTGCTATTATTAGTGAGGACCAGGTGTTTTTGAGCCCCACGTTCTGCTCCCTGCAGCTCTTAGATGTGACGAACCGAAGCAGCTTGGAGATATTTCTGCTTCATTTAAAGCATCCATTGCTGATTGACAAAGAAAATTTTGTTTAATGAAGTAAATCAAAACAGCGTCCAGAAAGTCTAATAAATGGAAAACCATCAGAGAAGTCAGAAGGAGAGACGTGAAAAATTGATAAAATACGAGAAAAATGATTCTAGTGAGATTTCATAGGATTTTTTATTTATAGATATTAATCATTAAAATTATTATTCTATTATAGAAACACTAAAAAAAACAGTAAAGTTAGAGTTAAATGAATTTATACTGAAGCTTCAGCACATTTCAGAGTCCTAAATCTGTTAATGTGAATAAAAAGTTAGGTCTGAAAGCTTAACGTCTCATTTCCTGAAGAACAGGATCCTGGAATGGACGTCTACACACCAACTACAAGATGCTTTATTTAACCCTTTAAAGCCAAGTGTATCACATCTGATAAATGAGTTTTTAAGACTTCTGCATCTGATGCTTTTGATCTTGAAAACCCGAATTCTCACAATCAGACACATTTAGCGAACAGATAATATGTAAAAGATTATACAGAAATGCTTACTGCATCAAAATTGATGCAAATAATGCTCTAGTTTAACTTAATCAAAAGGTATGTTTTTATTTCATTTGTCAGAAAGTTAATTGGCAGTTCTAATTAAAAAAGAAAGAAAAAAAGATTTTTCTGTCGATTATTTCACCAGTCCAGGCTTTAAAGCACTCAGATTAAAGGTCAACTATGGACATGGCTGCTGTAATCCCTCAATAAACCATATAACCTGCTATGATCCCAGGTATATGTACAGTGGGTATGGAAAGTATTCACACCCCTTTAGATTTTTTACTATGTTTTATTGCAGCTATTTGCTAAAATCAATAAAGTTCATTTTATTTTTCATTAATGTTCACTCAGCAACCCACCCTGACAGAAAAAACAACAGAAATGTAGAAATATTTATTAAAAAAGAATCACCTGGTCATAAGTATTCAGACCTTTTGCTCAGTATTGAGTAGCAGCAGCTTCTGAGCTCGTTCAGCCAGGACTCTTCCTGGGAATGATGATGGATCCTCTGCCGTTCTTCCTCTCCAGGTCTGTCAGGGTGGCTGCTGAGCGCTGGTGGGCGGCCATTTTCAGGTCTCTCCAGAGATGCTAGGTCAGGGCTCAGGAAGGGTCCCAGAGTTGTTCCTCTAGCTGTGAGTTTAGGGTCATGGTCTGGTTGGAAGGTGAACCTTCGGCCCAGTCTGAGGTCCTGAGACTTTGGAAGAGCTTTTCTTCCAGGATATCCCAGTTGTCCTGTCCCTACACCCCATAGCATGATGCTGCCACCACCATGTTTTACTGCTGGGATTTGTGATGAGCAGTGCCTGGTTTTCTCCACACATACTGCTTAGAATTAACTCCATAAAGTTCAATCTTGGCCTCATCAGACCAGAGAATCTTCTTCCTCATAGTCTGGAGCTGGAAGCTCTCATATAGACAGCTGTGTTCCTTTCCTAATCAGGTCCAATCAGTTTAATAAAACACAGCTGGACTCCAATGAAGGAGCAGAACCATCTGAAGGAGGATCAGAAGAAACGGACAGCATGAGAGTTAAATATGAGTCACAGCAAAGGGTTTGAATACTTATGATCAGGTGATATTGAACATTGATGAGCAGACATTTAAATTCAGTGACACAGAAAAGTTTAATGACACCGTCATGGGATAAGCCTCCAGGGCCGTTACCCTTCAAGTGAATTTTGCTTGGGGATCCTAAATTCCTTGAAACGGCCCTGCTGAATGTAAAGCTTCTTTTTTGATATCTTTTATTTTTATAGATTTTTTTATTTTCAGGTTGAGTTTGCCAGATCACATTGTCTTCCCACCCAATCCATATGCTCGCTCTGACCAATAGAAACGCTGATGACACCCAGAGGACCAATAGAAATGTGGCTCCACCCACACCAACAGACCTGGAAAATTCAGTTTGAGAAGAAGAGAGTTGTTCAAACTCCACATAAAGAAGAGAAATTTGAAAACAAAATAAATATAAAAAAAGTACAAATATTGAAATAAAAAAAAATTACATTTGAAAATCATTTTAAAAACTTTACTAAGAATTTTTTTATGATATGCTTTTTATAAACCTGCAAATATGGAACCAGATTCACTTATTCTAACGCCGGGGGCGGGGGCGGGGAGGTTGTTTACATAACAAAACTGACCTAATGAGGAAAACCAGAAATGAACCATCTCATCCAATCAGTGATGGAGGAGCAGCGAAGTCTAAAAACTTCAATATTTTCATACCAGCATTATTTATCCCTTATCCTCATGATGAGAAGGTCCGTTGAATCCGATTGGATGCTGCAGTCACTTCTGATCCTTATAGTTTGGTTTGGTGAGGAAGTCCTGAACCATCTGCCTCTTCCAGCTGCAGAAACCTGATGATCTACCACCAACATCTGTGGACCTACTGTAGTGAGAGAGCAGCTTCATTGGGCTCACTGAGACATGGCTAACAGCACTAACCCCTCACATACACATACATGGCAGCAGGAGGAGGCGTTGCTGTGGTTCAGCTCTGGGTACAGCGGCTGCTCTGTGCAGCAATGTGTTACTTTTCTTGTGTCATTCGTTCTAAATTTGGTTCAGGTTTGGTAGACGGGATCCCAGAATCCCCTGCGCCATCCTTGCCACCCAGGTGAAGTCCTTCTGTGGAGCCTCGGCCCCATTTTCATCTCCAGCTGATTCCTTATGTCCGACGGCGGAGAGATGGAGTGACTTTATCTAAAAATGTCCTGCTATATTTGTCTGAGATTTTGCTTTGTTGTTTCTGTAGATGAGAAAGAGGACAGCATCCTGGGAAGTATCCTGCTGCCCAGTTTTCACATCTCCATGCTGTCTGTGGACGACCACATCAGCAAGAAGTATGCCTTCAAGGTAAACCCTTCTAGGTGCTGGGCTGAGGATCTCGTCTGGATTCTTTTTGACTGATTCAGCAGAAAGTAAAAAGTCAGTCATGAAAGTCTGAAGGCTTGTTGGGTTTTCTGCCTTAAACTCCTCAGCTTCAACACATGCAGACCACAGTTCCCTGTGGAACTCCGCTTTTAATCCCTGACATAGGTTCTTATTTGAGTTTAGGTCTAGACTTTGACTAGGCCTTTCTGGCATATCAAAATGCTCTCATCTAAATATTCTGTTATAGCTAAAGCTTCAAGGGTAGAAGGTAATCTCCCCGTATTGTCCTGGTGTTAGCTCTCCTGGCTAGCTTAGAGAATAGCATTCCCACAACACTATGCTAGCACCGTCATCCTTTGACATTGAAAAGCTGTGTTAAGGCTGATGGTAGCATGTCATCAAAGAACGTTCTTCCCTCAGGAGGCTTCTAGCAGGAACTGTTAGAGCCTGATTTCTCTTCCCTTCACTCCACCATAAAGCTCAGCTCTTGCCCCATCAGCAGTCGGTCAGCAGTGGAACTCTTCAGCTCCTCCAAAGTTACCGTGTTAATGGCAGATTATACTTCTGCAACCGCACACATCAAATGTCGCTTAAGTCTGGTCGCGAACCAGTTTTGCTGGTATGCTTCTGCAACGTCGGTCTGGAATTTCTAGGGACGCACAGCAGTTTCCCATGAAAGCGCAAGGGGGAGCCTATTGGAGAACTCGCCAGAACTTCGCAGATGGTCAAAAGAACGACCGTGCCGGCGGGAGTGTTTATTTTTCAAAACAACGATAGTGCATCTGCAAGACATCACGGTCACGGATATGGATCTAGAGTTGCTAGACATCGAAGAGGAACAGGTTCTGTTACTGGTGTTGGCAAAGAGACCGATTAACCTTTTGTCGTAATCCATTGTAGTTGTTCCTCGGTTTTTAAAAATGGATTCTATTCTGGATTTAACAGGAAGCCAATGAAGAGAAGCCAGGATAGGAGAGATATGATCTCTCTTTTTAATTTTCATCAGAACTCTGGCTGCAGCATTTTGGATCAGCTGAAGGCTTTTAACTACAGTTTGTGGACTTCCTGATAGTAAAGAATTACAATAGTCCAGCCTTGAAGTAACAAATGCATGGACTAGTTTCTCAGCATCACCCCTGGACAGGAGATTTCTCATTTTTACAATATTCCTCAGATGAAAGAAGGAAATTCTAGAAACCTCTTTGATCTGGGATTTAAATGACAGGTCCTGATCAAAAACAACACCAAGATTTTTTACTTTATTATCTGAAATCAGTTTAATCCCATCCAAATGAAGTGACTGACTAATCAGCTTCTTTTTCAGAGACTCTGGTCCAAAGACTATAACTTCTGTTTTGTCTGCATTCAGAAGCAGAAAGTTAAGAGTCATCCAGGTTTTTATGTCTTCAAGACATGCCTGTAATCTATGTAATGGGTTAGCTTCATCTGGATTATAGACAGATATAGCTGGGTATCATCAGCATAACAGTGGAAATTAATCCCATGCTGTCTAATAACTCTACCGATTGGGAGCATGTATAAAGTAAAGAGAATTGGTCCTAGCACTGATCCCTGTGGTACTCCACAGGTAACCTTTGAGCATGAGGAAGATCTGTCATTAACGTGAACAAACTGAATTCGATCAGATAGATAAGATTTAAACCAGTCTAGTGCTGTTCCTTTAATTCCAACAAAATATTCAAGTCTTTCTAAAATAATATTATGGTCAACTGGATCAAATGCAGCACTGAGATCCAACAGGACGAGCACAGATACAAGTCCATTATCTGAGGCCATGAGAATATCATTAGTGACTTTCACCAGAGCTGTTTCAGTGCTATGATGAGCTCTAAAGCCAGACTGAAACTCTTCAAAAAGTTCATTATGGTGGAAGTGATCGAAAACTCGTTTGGCAACTACTTTCTCAAGAATTTTAGATAAGAAAGGAAGATTGGATATAGGTCTATAATTGACCAAGTCATCTGGGTCAAGAGACAGTTTCTTAAGCAGAGGTTTAATTACAGCAATCTTAAAAGCTTTAGGTACATATCCCTGTAACAGAGATAGATTAATCACATCTAAAATGGAGGAGGAGATCAAAGGGAATACCTCCTTAAATAACCTGGTTGGAACTGGATCTAACATACAAGCTGAAGGCTTAGATGAAGACAATAATTTTGCTAACTCTGAAAGTTCAACTGGATCTGATCTGATGTCTGGTCCTGATGAGGAGGCGGGGGTTGGGTTTCCCTGATGGCCACTCCTCAGTGACGCCTAGAGGAGCTCAGAGACCAGGATCAAAGGTTTTCAGACACACGCTTTGTTATTTGATATTTAACCTTTTACTGTTTCCCTCCATCTGTTCCTCTGATCAGTTTTACTTTCTGTTTGATCTTTGACTGTAAACCTCAGCTCATGGTCAGGGTCCCTGAGAACTTTGCAGACCTTTATTCGGTTCTCTGCTAATAATCACCCACCCTTTCCTTCCTCCGCCCCCTTCAGGCCACTCATCCCAACATGAGGACCTATTACTTCTGCACAGACACAGCTAAAGAGATGGAGTCTTGGATGAAAGTCATGACAGATGCTGCTCTGGTCCACAGCGAACCGGTTAGAAGGTTGGTACCGAACTTCATGCTGTCCTCCTTCCTCAGCAGGTTTTTCCTCCAGACACAAATAATCAAACTTATTTGGACCACATTCCTCATATACATACACTACCGTTCAAAAGTTTGGGGTCACATTGAAATGTTCTTATTTTTAAAGGAAAAGCACTGTACTTTTCAATCAAGATCATTTTAAACTAGTCTTAACTTTAAAGAAATTCACTCTATAAATTGCTAATGTGGTAAATGACTATTCTAGCTGCAAATGTCTGGTTTTTGGTGCAATATCTGCATAGGTGTATAGAGGCCCACATCCAGCAACTATCAATCCAGTGTTCTAATGGTACAATGTGTTTGCTCATTGGCTCAGAAGGCTAATTGATGATTAGAAAACCCTTGTGCAATCATGTTCACACATCTGAAAACAGTTTAGCTCGTTACAGAAGCTACAAAAGTGACCTTCATTTGAACAGATTGAGCTTTTGGAGCATCACATTTGTGGGGTCAATTAAACGCTCAAAATGGCCAAAAAAAGAGAACTTTCATCTGAAACTTAACAGTCTATTCTTGTTCTTAGAAATAAAGGCTATTCCATGCGAGAAATGGCTAAGAAATGGAAGATTTCCTTAGGTTTGTACTACTCCCTTCAGAGGACAGCACAAACAGGCTCTAACTAGAGTAGAAAAATAAGTGGGAGGCCGCGTTGCACAGCTGAGCAAGAAGAAGTACATTAGAGTCTCTAGTTTGAGAAACAGATGCCTCACAGGTCCCCAACTGGCATCTTCATTAAATAGTACCCGCAAAACACCAGTGTCAACATCTACAGTGAAAAGGCGGCTGCAGGATTCTGGGCTTCAGGGCAGAGTGGCAAAGAAAAAGCCATATCAGAGACTAGCCAATAAAAGAAAAAGATTAAAATGGGCAAAAGAACACAGACATTGTACAGAGGAGGACTGGAAGAAAGTGTTGTGGTCGGATGAATCCAAGTCTGAGGTGTTTGGATCACAAAGAATAACGTTTGTGAGACGCAGAACAAATGAAAATATCCTGGAAGAATGCCTGACGCCATCTGTTAAGCATGGTGGAGGTAATGTGATGGTCTGGGGTTGCTTTGGTGCTGGTAAGATGGGAGATTTGTACAGGGTAAAAGGGATTCTGAATAAGGAAGGCTATCAACTACATTTTGCAACGCCATGCCATACCCAGTGGACAGCGCTTGATTGGAGCCAATTTCATCCTACAACAGGACAACGACCCTAAACACACCTCCAAATAGTGCAGGAACTATTTAGAGCAGAAAAAGGCAGCTGGTACAAATTAACAGCTAGAATGTCAAAGGTCTGCAATGCCGTAATTGCTGCAAACTTATTCACCACCATACGTAAAATTTATTTCATCAAACTTCTTTGACGAAAGCAAAGTTTGATGAAAAAATTTTTTTTATTTCAAATACAAATCATTATTTCTAACCTTGTCAAGGTCTTGACTATTTCCTATTCATTTCACAATGTATGGTGGTGAATAAGTGTGGCTTTTCAGGAAAACACAAAATTGTTTGGGTGAACCCAAAATTTTGAACGTTAGTGTTTGTGTATATATATATATATATATATATATATATATATATATATATATATATATATATATATATATATATATATACATATATACATATGTATATATATATATATATATATGTATGCATGACTGAGTTACTACTCTGTGAGTTTATTTCACAGCCTGTTCTCCTTCCTGAACACAGACTGGATAAGCTGAACGTGGACCAGCAGCCGCCTCAGCAGTGGAACAACCTGATGAATCACGCGGTCCGAACTCAGCCGGAGCTCCAGAACAATGAGCGGAACAGGGAACCCGTGCGCCAGGAGTCCCTTTCACGGGCCGATCGTTTGAAAGACGCAGAGAAACCAAACCGGCAGAGGGAGCGCGAGTACTACACCCTACAGAGAGACGGAGAGAAGTATTCCCTGAGGAAAGATGGAGTTAGCTACATGCTGCAGAAGGACGGCGAGCGATACGTCCTCCACAGAGACGGAGAGCGATACCTGCTGAGAAAGGATGGGGAGAAATACTCGCTGCATAAAGAGGTGGAGAACTACGCTGTTCAGAAAGTGAATAACAGATATACAGTCACCCCCACAGAGGAGAAATACGCTCCTTCCAAAGATGGAGAGAAGTTCCTCCTCACCAAAGATGGAGAACGGTCTGCTCTGCAGAAAGTTGGAGATCGACACAAGCTCCAGGACGATGGACACAGCTATGTCCCTCAGAAGGAGGTTAAGAGACAGCTCTCACTGAGGGAAACGGAGCGGTACGGCACCTGGAGGGACCTGGGAACCAAACAGAGCACCGTCCACATGGTGGATAAGTACGGCAACCTGAAGGAGGTCAGGAAGTACAGCACCCTGCGAGAGGGGAACAGGTACGCTGCCGTCAAAGACGCAGAGAAGTACGCCACGATTCGGGCCGGGGAAAGGTACGGCTTTCAGATGAACCCCAGCTCAGAGAGGTCTGTGACCAAAATCAGCAGCATTATGCTGCAGCCCGCTCAGGCTGCCGCCATCGCAGCCGCAGTGTCTGCATCACGCCACAACCAGGCAGGCCTCAGCACCCAGAACCCTCCACAGGCCGTCAGCTCTGGGTCCAGGCCTGCAGAACCGCCGGGGGACCGTGGTCAGAGCAGCACCGCCGCCAGCCTTCCTCTGCAGGCCCCGGCTCCGGTTCAGGAGCCGGACGGCGGCCTGGCCGGCTCAGACCGCATGCAGCAGCTGGAGGCCAGAGTCCGGACTCAGCGGAGCCGAGAGCTGGAGGACGACACTCGAAGGTGAGGCTTTTAGAGAACCTGTTTCCAACCGACAGCCCACAGCTGCTGAAAACTGAGCGTCTGCTGGGTTTAAAGAACTGATTCTTTATTGAGTTTGATTTATCCAACACTGATCAACCACTTACGGCCATTCTAGTAACAAACTGGTACAGTCAGTCTAATGAAAGCTTCGCATGCAGAGGTTTATTCAACCAGCCCAAATGGGCGGAGTCAGAGCCAGCGGCATGCTGGGACCCTTCCTCTGCCCAGAGATACCGCCTGTGTTTGATTTCAGAGTTTTCAAAGATCCGGTCTACCTGGACCGGGTCCTTATTCAAACAGGTCCATCCTTCCGCAGCTTTCACCGCCCGTACGCTCTGTCGCCTAGCAACCGTGACAGTTGACGTTCAAAGCAGGCAAAGAATGGCTGCTGAACTTCTCACTGCTGCTCTGGGTGCTAATACCATTTCTGAGGAGCTTCAGCAGCAGTACCGTCGTCTCAGATATCAGATTTTTAGTCCGAATCTGAGCTTAAATTCCAGCCAATCCCATTTACACAGTAACAGATAAAAACCTTTTAGATAAATCAAACATTACCGCCACATATCTGACTCAATAACCATTAAAACAACTATTTTCATTCATTTCAGACGGAACTATTCACAGACTTAGATTATATTAAACTACACTTCCAATATTCACCACTGTTTGGCGCCATTTCTCTATTTCCTCTGAGCACAGAGCAGCCGCCTTGCTTGGACTCTCAATGAATCATGGGATACGGAGGATACAGCGGACCCGTCCTTATCATCAGGCAGAAATAAGGCTGCATTTTTTGGCTGCATAACGAGGAGTCTTCCAATCTGAACAGACCTCGGCATCACGCTATGATGTAATCGGCCGATGAATCTTTAGAGGAAACAGCCGCTGGATTCAAACAGTGATGCAGCTTAAAGGGATAGTTCGGTATTTTTGACATTAATCTGTATGGCATCCCGATCACCAGCGGCATGCAATCACACTGACTTACCCCTGGCAGCGTCCTGTGAGCAGAGTTATCGTCCAGTTTTGGTCAAGCCGAAAGTAGTCCTGCAGGTTTTTAGGAACAGCGAAATAAAACTTTTCTCTTCCCAAAACATTATGTGTCCAAAAGAGTGATATTTTCGCATCCCAAAAACATTGTAGTGGAAAAAGTCACACGTCGTTATCAATTGGTCCTATTTTCTCTCTGTTCGTATCAGTGCGCGCCGTCATTCAGACAGCGAGCCCAAAAACAGCCATGTCTCCCTCCGCCGCGGGATGCCATACAGATTCATGTCAAAAATACCGAACTATCCCTTTAATGTGCATCTATATGCATGAAGCCGCACTGAACACAGTCCTCCATCTGATTCCTGCTGGGCAGTCATGCATTAATCAGTGGATTAGCCCGTTAGCAGGTTTTTATACCATGGGTTCATGCATCATCAGCTGACCCAGTCCTCCCATTACCCAGCATGCCACTGGTCAGACATAGGTTGTTTCCTCAGGTTTAACCATATTAGCTTCTCATCAATCACTGCTTTGTCATTCAGTTGCAACATTTCACACCGTCCCTCCAGTTAGAAGCTTTGATTGACAGATCTTTGGTTAATAATAATCCAACATAAAAGACTTCATCACTACTAGCATCTGATGAGGATTAAAGCATACAAAACAGGTTTAAGGGCTCCAGAAATGATGGGATGGACTCTCAGGGTTTCTCCTCACGGTGCTTCCTCCTTTACAGCCGCTCAGGTTTCAGCTCTGGGCTCAGATTTTAGTCTCTGTCCAATGGGCAAACTAGCCCCGCCCCCATCAGCAACTGTCGCTCCCAGCTCAGTGTCTGTGTGTCTTTCAGCGTGACGTCGTACCAGACTCTGCCCAGGAACATGCCGAGCCACAGGACCCAGACCGTGCACTGCTACCCCGCAGGTTACCGCACTCTGCCCCGCAACAGCGTAGTCAGGCCCGACAGCATCTGCAGCGTGGCGGGTTCTGTTTATGACCGGGCCCTCCGGCCGGGCCCCGGCGCCAGCACAGCGGAGAAGAGGAGGTCGCTGAGGGACGACACCATGTGGCAGCTGTACGAGTGGCAGCAGAGGCAGGCCTTCTGCAGGCAGAGCTTGGTCCAGCCAGCAGGTAACCACCCCCCCCCATGCTAGCATTACCTTCTTTTCAGAGTCAGGATCAGGATCTGTTAGCTCTATCCAAACAGCGCCTCCTGTAGGTAGAGGTCAGGATATCAGATAAGCTCCAGGTGAGGTGATGTCAGTCGCGGTTAGAGAAGTGAGGGAACAGAGCAGCTTCTAGGTGACGCCTGCTAACAGGTGACAGAATGTTGTGTTGCTTCTTCAGGTAATCAGTTCCTAAAAAAACCCCACCTGATCTTGACACCATCAGTCCTGTGTTACGGGTGGACGTCCCTCAGTGGTTTGATCCAACTTTTGCTCCTTTCCAGCATGTCGCTACGGCACCCTGCCCAGCACCAAGACCATGGGGAGCCTCTCTGAGCACGCCGTGGAACGCTGCGTCTCCACCTCTCCGTCTCACGGATCCCTGGCGCTCTACAGCACCTTCTCCCCTCCTCAGCAGCAGCTCACCGCCAACCCCAACAGCTCGCTGTCTGAGGTGTCCTCGCCTGTCCTCAGAGGCGACGGCACGTTGGAGCGTCGGCAGAGGTCTCAATTCAGCAAGGTAAGGTGCTTGGCCTTTGGCTGCTGTATCCTGCTGCAACTTGCTGCATCCTGCTGCATCACGCTGCATTCTGCTGCATCATGCTCTAACTTATTGTATCCTGCTGAATCCTGCTGCAACTTGCTGCATCTTGCTGCATCTTGCTGCAACTTGCTGCATCTTGCTGCATCTTGCTGCAACTTGCTGCATCTTGCTGCATCTTGCTGCAACGTGCTGCATCTTGCTGCATCTTGCTGCATCTTGCTGCATCTTGCTGCAACTTGCTGCATCTTGCTGCAACGTGCTGCATCTTGCTGCATCTTGCTGCATCTTGCTGCAACGTGCTGCATCTTGCTGCATCTTGCTGCATCTTGCTGCATCTTGCTGCATCTTGCTGCAACTTGCTGCATCTTGCTGCATCTTGCTGCATCTTTCTGCAACTTGCTGCATCTTGCTGCAACTTGCTGCATCTTGCTGCAACGTGCTGCATCTTGCTGCATCTTGCTGCATCTTGCTGCATCTTGCTGCAACTTGCTGCATCTTGCTGCATCTTGCTGCATCTTGCTGCAACTTGCTGCATCTTGCTGCAACGTGCTGCATCTTGCTGCAACGTGCTGCAACTTGCTGCATCTTGCTGCAACGTGCTGCAACTTGCTGCATCTTGCTGCAACTTGCTGCAACTTGCTGCATCTTGCTATAACTTGCTGCAACTTGCTGCATCTTGCTGCAACGTGCTGCATCTTGCTGCATCTTGCTGCATCTTGCTGCATCTTGCTGCATCTTGCTGCAACTTGCTGCATCTTGCTGCATCTTGCTGCATCTTGCTGCAACTTGCTGCATCTTGCTGCAACTTGCTGAATCCTGCTGCAACTTGCTGCATCTTGCTGCATCTTGCTGCATCTTGCTGCATCTTGCTGCATCTTGCTGCAACTTGCTGCATCTTGCTGCATCTTGCTGCAACTTGCTGCAACTTGCTGCAACTTGCTGCAACTTGCTGCATCTTGCTGCAACGTGCTGCAACTTGCTGCATCTTGCTATAACTTGCTGCAACTTGCTGCATCTTGCTATAACTTGCTGCAACTTGCTGCATCTTGCTGCAACGTGCTGCAACTTGCTGCATCTTGCTGCAACTTGCTGCAACTTGCTGCAACTTGCTGCATCTTGCTGCATCTTGCTGCAACGTGCTGCAACTTGCTGCAACTTGCTGCAACTTGCTGCATCTTACTGCAACTTGCTGCAACTTGCTGCAACTTGCTGCAACTTGCTGCAACTTGCTGCATCTTGCTGCAACTTGCTGCATCTTGCTGCATCTTGCTGCAACCTGCTGCATCTTGCTGCAACGTGCTGCAACTTGCTGCATCTTGCTGCAACGTGCTGCAACTTGCTGCATCTTGCTGCAACTTGCTGCAACTTGCTGCATCTTGCTATAACTTGCTGCAACTTGCTGCATCTTGCTGCAACGTGCTGCATCTTGCTGCATCTTGCTGCAACGTGCTGCAACTTGCTGCAACTTGCTGCAACTTGCTGCATCTTGCTGCAACGTGCTGCAACTTGCTGCATCTTGCTGCAACTTGCTGCATCTTGCTGCAACTTGCTGCAACTTGCTGCATCTTGCTGCAACTTGCTGCGTCTGGCTGCATCCTGCTCTAACTTATTGCATCCTGCTGCATCCTGCTGTAACTTTCTGCATCTTGCTGCATCCTGCTCTAAGTTATTGCATCCTGTTGAATCCTGCTGCATCCCGCTGCATTCTACTGCATCCCGCTGCATTCTACTGCATCCCGTTGCATCTTGCTCCATCTTCAATGCTAATCCTCCTCTTCCTCACACAGTACGGATGTCCATCTGACCGACGGTCCATAGCCGCCGCCGTCCCTCCTCAGACCATCACTCCACAGTCTCTGCAGGGGAAAACGGTGAGTCCAGCAGCTGTTTGATCGCAGTAGATCCAAGGGTTCATCAGAGGGCAAAGGTCAAACTCCAGACTAGGAACAAACGATAGGGTTCAGATTTTTTTTGTCCAGATGTCTTATGACTCTGCTCTCTCTGGTTTATTGATGATGACTCTAGGCTGGAGGAAAAAAACATGGATTAGAAAAATCAGAAGAGAGGTTTGATGATTTTCATGATGCTGATCTTTTCCCTTCAGCTTCTCTCTGGAATAACTTTCTATTGAGATTCCATTGAGACAGCGTAGGAATGAATCCAGCTCTGATCCTCCTCCACAGCTTCTTCTAATCTGATGATCAGCAGCCATTTTATGTCCCTGCCTTGTAGGACCAGGGTCGACCCTAAAACAGGCTGTTCAGCAGACATGCAGCTTTTTATGGGTAGTTGTTGGAAGGAAAAAGTACAGCAATGATTTGGAGAAGTGCAGCTTTGTGAGGAGATAGGAGGGACAGACTGAGAGCTGCTCCTCAGTCCATGAAAGCAGCTGTTTCTGTCAGGTGGTTGGATTCAGTTTGCTTTATCCGCTGGATCATCTTAAACATTAGACCTTTTTCTTTTTGTGAGGCATTTTTACTCCAAGGTCAGAATGTCAGATTGTTTTCTCTGAAGCCTCGTTCCTTCTCTGTGCAGCCGGAGGAGCTGACCCTGCTGCTCATCAAGCTCCGCCGGCAGCAGGCAGAGATCAACAGCCTGCGGGAACACACCGTAGCTCAGCTGATGGCCCTGGGAGCAGAAGGAACCAACGCCAAGGTCAGTGTCTGTCTCCTCTGAGGCCCATCCTCCGCATCGCAGCTTCACTTGTTTCGCTTTCTAATAATCCAGCTGGATAAACACCAAGACGATATGGAGGGGGAGCCAGTCTGGTGGTCCTGATGGTGTCAGGTGGTACTGATGGTGGTCCTGATGTGTCTGATGGTGCCTGGTGGTCCTGATGGTGTCAGGTGGGTCCTGATGGCGTCAGGTGGGTCCTGATGGCCTCAGGTAGTCCTGATGGCCTCAGGTGGTACTGATGGTGGTCCTGATGTGTCTGATGGTGCCTGGTGGTCCTGATGGTGTCAGGTGGGTCCTGATGGCGTCAGGTGGGTCCTGATGGCCTCAGGTAGTCCTGATGGCCTCAGGTGGTACTGATGGTGGTCCTGATGTGTCTGATGGTGCCTGGTGGTCCTGATGGTGTCAGGTGGGTCCTGATGGTGTCAGGTGGGTCCTGATGGTGTCAGGTGGGTCCTGATGGTGTCAGGTGGGTCCTGATGGTGTCAGGTGGGTCCTGATGGTGTCAGGTGGGTCCTGATGGCGTCAGGTGGTACTGATGGTGGTCCTGATGTGTCTGATGGTGCCTGGTGGTCCCGATGGTATCTGGTGGTCCTGATGGTGTCAGGCAGTCTCGATGGCGTCAGGCGGTCCCGATGGCGTCAGGTGGTCCTGATGGCGTCAGGTGGTCCTGATGGCGTCAGGTGGTCCCGATGGTGCTTGGTGGTCTTGATGGTGCCTGGTGGTCCTGATGGTGTCAGGTGGTCCTGATGGCGTCAGGTGGTCCCGATGGTGCCTGGTGGTCTTGATGGTGCCTGGTGGTCCTGATGGTGTCAGGTGGTCCTGATGGTGTCAGGTGGTCCTGATGGTGTCAGGTGGTCCCGATGGCATCAGGTGGTCCTGATGCCGTCAGGTAGTACCAATGGTGTCTGGTTGTCGTGATGGCGTCAGGCAGTCCCGATGGCGTCAGGTGGTCCCGATGGCGTCAGGTGGTCCCGATGGCGTCAGGTGGTCCCGATGGTGCTTGGTGGTCTTGATGGTGCCTGGTGGTCCTGATGGTGTCAGGTGGTCCTGATGGTGTCAGGTGGTCCCGATGGTATCCGGTGGTCCCGATGGTGCTTGGTGGTCCCGATGGCGTCAGGTGGTCCCGATGGCGTCAGGTGGTCCCGATGGTATCCGGTGGTCCCGATGGTGCTTGGTGGTCCCGATGGCGTCAGGTGGTCCCGATGGCGTCAGGTGGTCCTGATGGCGTCAGGTGGTCCTGATGGCGTCAGGTAGTCCCAATGGTGTCTGGTGGTTTTGATGGCGTCAGGTAGTCCTGATGGCGTCAGGTAGTCCCAATGGTGTCTGGTGGTTTTGATGGCGTCAGGTAGTCCCAATGGTGTCTGGTGGTTTTGATTGCGTCAGGTGGTCCTGATGGCGTCAGGTGGTCCCGATGGTGCCTGGTGGTCTTGATGGTGCCTGGTGGTCCTGATGGTGTCAGGTGGTCCTGATGGTGTCAGGTGGTCCTGATGGTGTCAGGTGGTCCCGATGGCATCAGGTGGTCCTGATGCCGTCAGGTAGTACCAATGGTGTCTGGTTGTCGTGATGGCGTCAGGCAGTCCCAATGGCGTCAGGTGGTCCCGATGGCGTCAGGTGGTCCCGATGGTGCTTGGTGGTCTTGATGGTGCCTGGTGGTCCTGATGGTGTCAGGTGGTCCTGATGGTGTCAGGTGGTCCCGATGGTATCCGGTGGTCCCGATGGTGCTTGGTGGTCCCGATGGCGTCTGATGGTCCTGATGGCGTCAGGTGGTCCTGATGGCGTCAGGTAGTCCCAATGGTGTCTGGTGGTTTTGATGGCGTCAGGTAGTCCCAATGGTGTCTGGTGGTTTTGATGGCGTCAGGTAGTCCTGATGGCGTCAGGTAGTTCCAATGGTGTCTGGTGGTTTTGATGGCGTCAGGTGGTCCCGATGGCGTCAGGTGGTACTGATGGTGGTCCTGGTGTGCCTGGTGGTCGTGATGGTGCCTGGTGGTCCTGATGATGTCAGCTGATCTTGATGGTGCCAGGTTGTCCTGATGGTGCCTGGTGGTCCTGATGATGTCAGGTGATCTTGATGGTGCCAGGTGGTCCTGATGGCATCAGGTGGTCCTGATGGCATCAGGTGGTACTGATGGTGGTCCTGATGGTGTCTGGCGGTCCTGATGGTGCCTGGTGGTCCCGATGGTGTCAGGTCGTCCTGCTGGCGTCAGGTCGTCCTGACGGTGTATTGTGTTCTGATTGTGTCAGGTGGCGTTGATTGTGTCTGGTGGTCCTGACGGTGTCTAGTGGTTCTGATGGTGGTCCTGATGGTGTCTGGTTTTCCCAATGGTGGTCCTAATGGTAGTCCTGATGTTAGATCTTTCTTTGACTGTTTGCCTATGGGCTGTAGTTTCAGTCTAAAGCCTCTAGTGTTATTAGAATATATAGATAGTTTGGTTTAGTGATTGAATATTCGGTCAGTGATGTTTTAAATCATATCTCGAATATGTCGTCCTGTAGTAAATATCTCTCCTCATGCCCTAAATGCTGATTATTTCATCTGAATGAATCACTTCCTGCTCTCTCCTTCATCCACTGGTTAAACTAAATCCAGCTGCCTTCTGTCTTTCTGCTCTCTGTCCTCTGCTGGTTCTACAGACTGATGTTCTCTCCCACCACCTTCAGAGGAACCTTATTTACCTGGAGAAGCAGGTGAGGAATCTGCTTCTGGCCGCCCCATGCTTTGGGCTGGGATGACATCATGCTCTCATTAGGGTGGGGGGGGGCTTAAAGGGGAACTCTGATCCTACAGCAAGGTATGGCAATGGACTGGGTCCAATGACCAGCCTCAGGTCCATCCAATGTTGGACCCACTTGAAGATCTGCCCTGAATACGCTCCAGGAAAAGAGGTTGAACTTCAATGGACCCTTTAAAGTTTAGAGCAGAGGTCCTGAAGATCTTTAGGACCATCCCTGCAGCGTGATCAAAGACTGGATCAGCATTCAAAGGTCCTGTAAGGTTGGTTCAGGATTGCTGGACCAAAAATGCATCAGTAGACTGCAGGCCAGAAGATATCCAGGACCGCAGTCTGAGACCCGCTTTCTATACATTCATCCTCAAACCCGACTGAGACTAGATTCAGACTAAGCAGACAGGACCAGGCTCTGTGCCAGGAATCACAGACGTACTGAGAGACACCACCTCATCAGGAATGTCTGGGTTTCAGTTCCAGAGTCTACCAGTGAAGTCAGGCTGCCGCCATGTTGGTTTCCTTACAGACGTGGTCAGTTTGCTGGGATAAACATCTCCTGCCTTCAGTGACATTAGACCTGTTACCATTAGCTCCCATCAGCCCACAACATTTCCTCCCAGTGTTCGCCCAGCATGTCCAAATGCAAATGCTACAGCAGCATTAAAGTGACGTTCAGATGTTTTATTCTTCTGCAGTGGACCTGGTGCCTTGCTTTCTAAATCCCCATTTCCTCTAGTTTATAGATTTTTAAACTAGAGGAAATATAGATTTATATTTACTCTAGTTTATAAATCTACATTCCCTCTAGTTTATAAATCAGTATTTCCTCTAATTTAAAAATCTATATTTCCTCTAGTTCATAATATAAATCTATATTTCCTCTAGTTTATAAATCCGTATTTCCTCTAGTTTATTAATCAGTGTTTCCTCTAGTTTATACATCTATATTTTCTCCAGTTTATAAATCTATATTTCCTCTAGTTTATAAATCTGTATTTCCTCTAGTTTATAAATCTATATTTCCTCTAGTTTATAAATCTGTATTTTCTCTAGTTTATCAATCTGTATTCCCTCTAGTTTATAAATCCGTATTCCCTCTAGTTTATAAATCCGTATTCCTTCTAGTTTATAAATCCGTATTTCCTCTAGTTTATAAATCTATATTTCCTCTAGTTTATAAATCCGTACTCCCTCTAGTTTATAAATCCGTACTCCCTCTAGTTTATAAATCCGTATTCCTTCTAGTTTATAAATCCGTATTTCCTCTAGTTTATAAATCTATATTTCCTCTAGTTTATAAATCCGTACTCCCTCTAGTTTATAAATCCGTATTCCCTCTAGTTTATAAATCTGTATTTCCTCTAGTTTATAAATCTATATTTCCTCTAGTTTATAAATCCGTACTCCCTTTAGTTTATAAATCCGTATTCCCTCTAGTTTATAAATCTGTATTTCCTCTAGTTTATAAATCCGTATTTCCTCTAGTTTATAAATCCGTATTCCCTTTAGTTTATAAATCCTTATTCCCTCTAGTTTATAAATACGTATTCCCTCTAGTTTATAAATCCGTATTTCCTCTAGTTTATTAATCAGTGTTTCCTCTAGTTTATAAAGCTATATTTACTCTAGTTTATAAATCGGTACTCCCTCTAGTTTATAAATCAGTATTTCCTCTAGTTTATAAATCAGTATTTCCTCTAGTTTATAAATCAGTATTTCCTCTAGTTTATAAATCTGTATTTCCTTTAGTTTTATAAATCAGTATTTCCTCTAGTTTATAAATCAGTATTTCCTCTAGTTTTATAAATCAGTATTTCCTCTAGTTTATAAATCAGTATTTCCTCTAGTTTTATAAATCAGTATTTCCTGTAGTTTATATTATTTCTTCTCTGAGCTGTTTTCCTGTCTCTATGGGGATCATTGGGTTTTTTATGCATCTCTGATCAGTTTCATATCCAACTTTTCAAGCATTTATAATGAAACCAATGTAGCCGTAATGAATGAATTAGATCAGCTGTTCAGACGGTTGAAGGTTTACAGTCTAAGCAGGTTTCTGTTGGTCTGATCTTTTTATCACTTTAACAGCCTCTTATATCTGTAGTTTGACTTCCCAGCTGAGCTTTTACTCCACTGTATCCTCTTCTTCCTGCCACTGGTGCTAGACGAAGGAGAATGAGCCTCTTATCTTCATGATTCACACAATGATTGAGAACTCGGCACCGAGGCCGCAACTCTACCAGCAAGTAAGGAATTTGGAAAGTTGGGCAGGAAGGCCGTCCCTCAGAGTTTTGGCTGGGTCTCAACCTTCTGGTGGGGCTGTAGCTCCACGGCTGCTGGCTTCATGGTTGGACATGGAGGCAGTGGAGCTGGAGGATGAAGCTTTGCATGAAAAGCTCTCTACAGAACCACCTGGAGGTTTGGGAGGATGTTCCCATAGAAACGATTGATCCTATAGACGGATTCAGTCTAAAAACTTAAGCTCTGCCTGGACCTGACCCTGCGTCTCTCCAGCAGCTCTCCATTTTCTCCTCCTGACTCAGAGTGGAGCGACTCCAGCCAAAACTTTGCAGCGGTTCCCCGGTTGTCGTGTTTCCACACCTCCCTCTCCACCTTGGCACTTCACCCATGGATGGAGTCAGAGATCCATCACCCACATACAGCATCCTGTCTGTGAGATGTCTGTGGCTCCTGGAAGGTGACCATTCTTCACAGACCCTCCATCTGTCCTCATTCACCAGGTTTTCTGCTTTTAGACCCACTCTGAAATGTTTAGACGTGTTTGTGTAAAAATACCTTTGGCTGCATGTTTCCTGGATCCATGCGTTCCCTGATCAAAGGTCTGGGAGGTTCGGATTGCTTTCAGACGTGCTCCCATGTGACGTCTGCTCCCGCATCGGGACAGTCCAGGAGAGCGCGTCTGATGCCGCTTCCATCGCTGCCTGGTTTCACTGCTGAGTGGAAGTTAAACACGTATCATTCAGTCAGATGTTACCTCAGGGTTCATGTTGGTGGAAAACAGCTCCTCCTCTGGTTTAGCTTCTCCATGCAGCGGTGAGCACGCCTCCCGTCTCTGTCATCTCATATCATGGCTGCCTGAGGCCTGCTGAGGCCTGTTTCCATGGAAACATCCTTTCAGCGTGGATCCATGGTCACTGAACGCTGCTGTTCATTTCTCCATGACTGCTCCTCCTCATCTTTTTCTTTCTTTCTGTTCATCTGATATTCAGCAGAAATTCACTGTTTTCTCTGATTGCTGTTTCATCTCCTTTGGTTTTAGTTGTTGGGGCTGATTTCCGTTTATCTTCCTCCTTTAAGCAGATAATCAGCCATATTAGCAGCTGAAGCTGCAGTGAACTGTTGGTCCCCTGCAGACCGTAGGGATTGATGTGACGTTAGTGGCCCCTGCAGACCCAGTCTGAATATCCTCCTCTTTCAGGTGGACCCAGATGATCTCCCAGACCGCTCTCCGCTGCAGTCCACAGGCGAGGCTGATGTGGAGGTAGGGAAGCCTCTCTGTCTGCAAACACAGAGCCCGTCTCTGTTGCACGGCTGATCTGTGTTTGTGTCTCAGACGAAGCTCAGCCGGCTGTGTGAGAAGGACAAGGTGTTGAGGATGCAGGAGGAGAAGCTGCAGCAGCTGCACAGGGAGAAGGTAGCAGAGCCCTCAAAGCGTCCGCCTGGGGAGCGCCCTCAGGTGTGCTAAGAAGGTTCTTGATGTTTGTCTGCAGCACACTTTGGAAGCGGCGCTGCAGTCGGCCAGCCAGGAGCTGGGAGAGCAGAGCAACTCCACCACAGCGGCGGCGCAGAGCCTGGTCCAGCAGAGGGACGTCCTGCAGAGCGGCCTGCTCGGCACCTGCAGGGAGCTGAGCAGAGTCAGCGCTGTAAGCTGCCACTTTCTCTATCCTTCTGGGGACTCTCCAGTGACTTCCATTCATATCTGACCCACTTCTAAAGCCTGACCATGATACCAACACTGAACCTGGGCCTGAACTCGATTCAAACCTTAGTCCTAAACCTGAACCTGAGCCTAAACCAGCATTGGTCCCCACAATGTAGGAATTTCCCACCCACACTCACACTGACCCATCAGCCATAGACTGTTTCTCAGTACTTGGCCGTTCTCGCTCTGCTGTTCTTGTGAATCGGAACAACACTAGGGCTGAGGCTGATGACGGTTCATGAGGACACAAGAACCAAATATGGAGAAACAAAGTCCCAAGATGTTGTTCACGCCCCTCCCTCGTCCCGTTGCAGGCCTTTTTAATTTAAAGAAAGCAGAATGCGGTTAAGTTATCACAAACATTGCATTCGATAATCACCTGCTAATCTGGGGTTCTTTCCACTGTCCTCTAATTAAAATCACTCAAACTGCTCCTAGCTAGCACATCATCCCCTTTCTTCTTCCTCCAAAGGGTCAAATGAGCACAAACATGTCCTCCACCCAAACATGTCCTCCACCCAAACATGCCCTCCACCCAAACATGCCCTCCACCCAAACATGCCCTCCACCCAAACATGTCCTCCACCCAAACATGCCCTCCACCCAAACATGTCCTCCACCCAAACATGCCCTCCACCCAAACATGTCCTCCACCCAAACATGCCCTCCACCCAAACATGTCCTCCACCCAAACATGTCCTCCACCCAAACATGCCCTCCACCCAAACATGCCCTCCACCCAAACATGCCCTCCACCCAAACATGACCTCCACTCAAACATGCCCTCCACCCAAACATGCCCTCCACCCAAACATGCCCTCCACCCAAACATGTCCTCCACCCAAACATGTCCTCCACCCAAACATGTCCTCCACCCAAACATGTCCTCCACCCAAACATGCCCTCCACCCAAACATGTCCTCCACCCAAACATGCCCTCCACTCAAACATGTCCTCCACCCAAACATGTCCTCCACCCAAACATGCCCTCCACCCAAACATGCCCTCCACCCAAACATGACCTCCACTCAAACATGTCCTCCACCCAAACATGTCCTCCACCCAAACATGCCCTCCACCCAAACATGTCCTCCACCCAAACATGACCTCCACCCAAACATGTCCTCCACCCAAACATGCCCTCCACCCAAACATGCCCTCCACTCAAACATGTCCTCCACCCAAACATGCCCTCCACCCAAACATGCCCTCCACTCAAACATGCCCTCCACTCAAACATGCCCTCCACCCAAACATGTCCTCCACCCAAACATGCCCTCCACCCAAACATGCCCTCCACCCAAACATGCCCTCCACCCAAACATGTCCTCCACCCAAACATGCCCTCCACCCAAACATGACCTCCACTCAAACATGCCCTCCACCCAAACATGACCTCCACTCAAACATGCCCTCCACCCAAACATGACCTCCACTCAAACATGCCCTCCACCCAAACATGTCCTCCACCCAAACATGCCCTCCACCCAAACATGCCCTCCACCCAAACATGCCCTCCACCCAAACATGACCTCCACCCAAACATGTCCTCCACCCAAACATGACCTCCACCCAAACATGTCCTCCACCCAAACATGCCCTCCACCCAAACATGTCCTCCACCCAAACATGCCCTCCACCCAAACATGTCCTCCACCCAAACATGCCCTCCACCCAAACATGCCCTCCACCCAAACATGTCCTCCACCCAAACATGCCCTCCACCCAAACATGCCCTCCACCCAAACATGTCCTCCACCCAAACATGTCCTCCACCCAAACATGCCCTCCACCCAAACATGTCCTCCACCCAAACATGTCCTCCACCCAAACATGCCCTCCACCCAAACATGCCCTCCACCCAAACATGCCCTCCACCCAAACATGCCCTCCACCCAAACATGCCCTCCACCCAAACATGTCCTCCACCCAAACATGTCCTCCACCCAAACATGCCCTCCACCCAAACATGTCCTCCACCCAAACATGCCCTCCACCCAAACATGTCCTCCACCCAACCTGATGTTTGCTGCTAACAAGCATCAGGTTCGTTAATGGAGATCCAGTCACCCTAAGACCTAAGAGCAGCCCAGACTGCTTAGAAAGTTGATGTGAGGAACCCAGCTGACTGCAGCAGCTATCCAAAGCTAAATGAGTGGTCCTGTCCACCATAGAGGTCAAAGGAGGACTTGTGTCTGTAGGGACCTCTTGCTCAGTACAGACGGACTGATTGGTGTTGTTCCCCAGGAGCTAGAACGGTCCTGGACGGAGTATGAGCAGCTGGAGGCAGACGTCTCTCTGGCCAGGACCAACCTGTTGGAGCAGCTGGAGGCTCTGGGCAGCCCGCAGGTAGCAGACCGATCCAGAACCGACCCAGAACCAGGGTCTGCAGCTCCATCTTTACCCACATCGGTCTCTCTGTCTGTGTCCCTCAGACAGAACCTCCAAGCCAGCAGCACATCCAGATCCAGAAGGAGCTGTGGAGGATCCAGGATGTGATGGAGGCTCTGACCAGAACCAAAGCTCAGCAGAGACCAGAGATAGGTGAGATTGAAGCAGGTCCCATCTAGAACTGGACTCCAGGGTTTCCTGACAGCGGGGCTGGACCGCTCCAGTTTAGGACACCACCACATCAGAGAATGTTTTTCTCAGGGAGCAGTGCAGAGTGCCTTTAGCTGCTTCTCTCCAGATGATTGTCCTCTCCTTGTTTGTTCAGCAGGGTTTCCAGGATCCAGACCTCTCTCCAGTCAGCAGAAGAACGAGGTAAAGCTGGACTCTCTATCCTCCACTATGCTAACTAACATCTGCTCTGAGACTGAAGCTCATTTCCTGACCTCCATCCCATCATATCTGTTGGAGCTTCAGCTGATCTTATAGTTGCTGATCCTGATGGTTCTCAGTGTCCCTTAATCCAGGAGCCTCAAAGTTGATGATGATGATGATGATGATGATGATCCATTTGGGCCATTGGGCTCATAGGTGAAGCAAACCCAAAAATCAGAGCCTCAGAGATGAGAATATTACAGTAGCAGCCATTGAAAATGTTCCCACTTTCCTTGTCTGATCCTTGGCTGGTCTTTGGTCGGTTCTTGGCTGGTCTTTGGTCGGTTCTTGGCTGGTCTTTGGTCGGTTCTTGGCTGGTCCCCTGCAATTCCTTTTTAAACATCAATCTGTGTTCTAAAATATTCTTTCTGTCATGATTTGTAGACATTAAGATCTAAAGAGAAGCGCCACCTCCTGGTCAAACCTATAATTCAGTGAAAGGGTGGAGTCAAAGTAAAAAAATATGTTGGGTTCATGGAGGGGATTTGGCTGGCAACTGGGAAGGGCCTTTTTGAATGGCTGCTACTGCAATTGAAACATGGGTCAACCAGACAGACTTGTTTGATCTATTCTAGAATTGCGCTGCTGAAAGTTAGACTAGCCCTGCTAGCCTCACTCTGATATTCTGACTCTACTTCCTCTGCTGGTGGAGTTTCTTTTTTCTCATGTTTTTCTGCTTCTAGTGTTGAATGCTGTGAAACTGGAGGATTTTTTACTGATATTTTTTTACTTTTTGAATACTTGTAATGCGTAACCATGGCAAACCTTTTTACTCCTGGGAGAAGCTTCTCAACATCTCTAAAGTTCAATACAGCTCAGTTTATCTCTAGCCAATTCACATCATGTCATCTCAGGTCACTTTATAGATCCAGATTAACCAGATCATCCAGTCAGATTGATTCAAAGTTTCTGACCTAAGGAAAACCAATTGATTGCATCAACTCATTGACTCTTCAGCAATCCCCCTGAAATAATTACTCATCTACTCCCACGAGTTGAAAAAGAGGAGGTGCTGCGGATGCAGAGCAGGAGGAGATAGAGGAGCAGGAAATATAAACCATCTCTTCCATCAGTCATCATGGGCAATGTGAGATCTTTAGGAAACCAGTTAGAAGAGCTCCCAGTCCCAGCAAGGACCCAGTCAGAATATCAGCAATGCAGCATTTTGTGTTTAACTGAAACCTGGCTGCAGGATCATATCTGACTCCAGCGTCTCTCTGCCAGGCTGTCTGAGCAAACCAGCAGAGATTTAAAGGAGACTGGAAAGCTCAAAGGAGGTGGTTAGCAGCATTGGTGAACAACAGATGATGTCATCCAGGATAGATGATGTCATCCAGGACATGTTAGGGTGAAGATTCATCTCTGCAGCCCAGATATTGAACTGATGGCAGATGCTTTTCATCCATATTATTTATCCACAGAGTTCAGCAGTGTTCTGTTGGTAACTGTTTATATTCCACCTTCTGCTGTTGCCACCACTGCATGTGATGTCATCAGCTCTGTTGCAAAGCTACAGACACAGCCGCCAAATGCATTTGTGGTAATAACTGTTGATTAGGTCCTTCGGGTGCTGCAGATCAGTCTGATCTCTTCCTCCATCATCTGCTGGGGGTAACAGCATCAGAGCTAATGGCTGAAAGAAGCTCAAACAGCTGATCTAGAAGGTGACTCTGTTCTACAGAGGGTTCGTCCTGTCTACAGCATCAATATCTACAACTGGTTTAAAAAATTAACACTGCAACATTTAACTAGCGCTGGGATTAGTAAAGTATTTTTGAATTGAACTGGACTGAATTGTTTGGTAATGAAGGGCTAGGTCCTTTATTTTGGGTTTTTCTTAGCTGTGGCAAGAATTAGAAAAGATCTCTGGATTATGGCACCAAGGTAACATAGAGCCCCCCCACCCCCCATCTGAGCTCTGCTGTCTGTCAACAGGCAGTGCCACTGCTGCCATTTAAAGAGGGCCACAAGGTGCCAGCTCGCCCCCCCCTCCCTCAGTGCTATGACTCGTCAGAGCGCGTCCCTCACGTCCCCCTCCACCACTCACAACCCGGCAGCCGACCCCTCCACAACCACCGGCCCGAAGAGCGAAAGGCCAGCTGCAGGAACGGAGCGCATAGCGTAAGACCTGCTCAGCCTCTCCATGCTTGTCTCCAACCCCACCAGTCCTGAACATCTCCTCATCCTCATCATCAACCAGCTACTGAGTCTTCATCTTCACCTGGTCGGGTCATTCTAAGACTCAGCCTAAGATCTAGAAAAGACAGAAGTGATTCCTAGATCTACAACAGACAGGTTCCTTAACCTAACTAGAACAGACAGATTTTGTCCCAGCTTTTGTCCCAAAAGTTAGAAAATTTCTATAAAAAAATACAATCCTGTCTTAAAATCTGTGTTGTTTTTTTTAGTTATCTTCTGCAGGCCAGTTAGTTCTACGTCAGCCTGAACACCTAAATTCGGCCAATCAGAAATCAATGGTCATCTGTCAATCAAATTTTTTCGGTCATAGCACTTGATTTATATGTCGCAGCTAATATACGCAATGGTTGAAATCAGAAACCAGAATCATTTCCTTTCCCATTGAGTTCCGTCCCAGTGTTCACGGGGATGGATGTCTGTGTCTTCGGCAGGCGTAGAGCTAACAGAACTGGCAGCGTTGCGAGGCAAGGGCTCAAACATGTACGGCTGGAAGCCTTCTACACCAAACCAAGCTTCTGCCGCCCTGGCGTCCTCTTCCACAACATCTTCGTCCCCGCTTTCCTCCTCTAAATAAAAAATGGATGACGGAGGAGACTCATCCACGGCCTCCGACACTAAACTCTCCTCCTCTTGCATGTTTCCTCTGTCCATAGCGTTCCTTGACAGCGTCGTTTCTAAGTCACCAATTTAGTGCTACTTGGTCCCAATGGAATTTCCCATTGGGAACCTACTAGCACTAAGTTGCTAACTGGTTAGCAAGATGCTTCAGACAAACCGGCCACAAACAAACTTGCTTGCGAACCTTCAACCACAACAATCCTGCCCCCTTGATAATCGACCAATAACACTCACTTTATTCAGTCATGTAAAGTCGGGCACCACTCGGGAGAATTAAGAAAGGCAACCGTTGGAACAGCCGCTTCCCTACGACTTTAATGCAGACCAAGGAACCCAGGAGACAGGCCAGGATGGAAGTTCTGGTTCAGTTTAAACCAGGCTGAGGCTCTAAAACAAAGTCCAAACTTTTAACATCTCCCAGAGCTCTGATCAATCCATCACCTGACATGGAAGATGTCTGCCTCACAGACTGAACCTGGTAGTTGGTTCCACAGGAGAGAAGCCTGATAACTAAAAGATCTGGCTTTTATAATAAAATACTCTTCATGTATTAAAAGCAATGGCCCATAAGGTCCAGACTATGACAGTAAGGCTTAGTAGATCTGTGGATGTTTTTAGGCAAAGAATTAAAGGCCTCATTTAGGCTCCAAGTTTTAGGGTGTTTTCAAAACTGCAATTTGGTTCCGTTTTGGTCACAATTGTAATGCCCACCAAACTAGTGGGCATGGAAATGTGGTCTCAGTTTGGCTTCAGCTGAATTCTGGTGCACACTAGTTGATGTCTGAAAACAACCAAATATATATATCTATATATATATATATATAGATATATATATATATATATATAATATATATAGATGAGGATGTTAATCTGAGCTGATATTTCCATTCTGCATCTCCACTTCATCAGCATATTATTTCCAAGGTGGTTTTTGATGTGCTGATCGATGCACTATCATTATACCATTCAGCTTATTTAGGTGAGGTAAGGGTTAAGGGAATCCTCTCCCTTATGCATGAAGAAGTTCTGGGGTATTGATTGTAAACATGCATCCTTTCATCCTGCTAACAGCAAGCTCCAGACTACCGGCTGTATAAGAGCGAGCCTGAGCTGACAACTGTGAATGAAGAAGGAGACGAGGCCAACAGCGAGGACAAGGATAAGACCGAGACGTCTGCGGAGCGTAGAGACACCTCAGCCCCCAAAGGTATATGCATAGTCTTTGATTCTCAGCAGTGAAACGGGTGTTTAGATCTAATCCTGATGTTGAATGTGAAATGTCTTTGATCTGCCAGGAACCTTCAGATGGGGCCCGGGGTCTAGTCTGGCTGCTAGAGGACAGAACCAGAACTAAATTAACTGATGCTGTTATTCTAGGAGGTTAATGTTGTCATTGCAGAGGGATGATCTGATGTCCTATAGAGCTGCTGCTGCCAACCTCAGAGTGAACATAGACCAGTGGGGGGCTGATATTCTGACATCATCCCCTCATCTAGAAGGCGTTAAAATGAGGTGTAGGGGGAAGGACTCCAGCTCGGTGGTCTTAGTCAGACTTCCTGTCAGGGAAGCAGCTTCATCGTCCGGATAGGGAGATCCTCACCGGTGTGACCCAGCGGGGGGTAGAGAGGGTGCACTAGATGGGGTTGGTGACTGACGGGGGGTGAAGCAGTAATTGTGGGATCTAAGGTAAAAACCTGTGACTTCCAGAAACCAGGTAGTGGAGCAGAGAGCATGTGAGGGAGCACTTTCACAAAGATGTCTCTCCATGTGGTTTAGAGGCACGTCCCCCCCGTCCCCCACCGTGCTCCTGCCTCCTAAGGCTGATCGCCATGGTGACCACAGCCTAACACCCAGCTCAGCTTCACGCAGGCTATCACCGAGTCCGCTTCCCTCATCCTTCCACATCCACTTGCTTGGTGGCGATCCAAGTGTTGGCCATTCTGGTTCCGACTGGACCAGGCCCACCCACACCCGCCCGCTCCATAAATACCACAGCCACAGACCAGCTAGTTTATCAGCTACGCTAAACCAATGATAGGCAAGGCAAATTTATCTGTATAGCACAATTCAGTACAAAGACAATGCAAAGTGCTTTACATGATTAAAATACAGGAAGATAAAACAGAATCAAAGCAAGTAGGAAAAAATAAAAAACAAATAAAATAAAATAAAAAATGCAGAAACAAAAAAAGAATATTAAAAACAGTTGGATTAAAGAATTGTTTAACTAGAACAGTCGAAGGCAATCCTAAACAAATGTGTTTTTAGTCTTGATTTAAAGGAACTCAGGCTTTCCGCACTTTTACAGTTTTCTGGAAGTTTGTTCCAGATAAGTGGAGCATAGGAACTAAATGCTGCTTCTCCATGTTTAGTTCTGGTTCTAGGTATGCAGAGCAGGCTGGAGCCAGAAGACCTGAGTGGTCTGGAGGGTTGATAAACTGATAGCAAGTCTGTGATGTATTTAGGTGCTAAGCCATTCAGAGATTTATAGACTAACAGAAGTATTTTAAAGTCTATTCTCTGAGATACAGGGAGCCAGTGGAAGGACTTTAGAACTGGGGTGATGTGCTCTACTTTCTTAGTCTTAGTGAGGACACGGGCAGCGGCGTTCTGGATCAGCTGCAGCTGTCTGATCCACTTTTTAGGCAGACCTGTGAAAACACCGTTGCAGTAATCAATTCGACTAAAAATAAACTCTCTGACCCTGATGGTCGGCTGAAGGTGATGTCCTGATGCTGCAGCACCAGTAGGGGGCGCTACAGCTGCCTCTCTGCCCCTCTGGGACGGGCGTCCTTCAGCGGAGCTCAGGTGGAGGTTTGACCGCCGGCAGCCTCCGACCAGCAGCTGGCTTTAATCAGCTGCTGGCCGGAGGTTACTCCATAAAACGCTCTAAGACTGTTAGAAGCTCCTCGTTTTCCTCCTTCTGAAGTGACTGGAGATGAGGAAGAGGAGGAAGAGGAGTTACCGTGGAAACCTCATCCATTTATTCTCTGCAGAGTTTCTAGATATGTGGCCTGTTTTCCGCTGCCTTTCGTAGCAGTTGATTCTCCCTTTGCCTTGCAGCTCAGCCTCACTGATCAAATGAACCTTTTCTCCACAGCGCCCCCCTACCCTGTGGGCATCGTCGCTCCGAGGACCAAATCCCCCCTCAGCACTCCTGAGTCTGCCACCATCGCCTCCTACGTCACCCTAAGGAAGACCAGAAAACCAGAGTCCAGAAGTGTGAGTTTTCCTCCAGCTGAGAACGTCTCTGAGGTCGTTTTAGGGTGTTGTTGCAGAGGGTAGAACTCAGAGTCTGCTCCTCCTCAGGACCGGCCCAGGAGCACAGCGGATCAGACGGGAGAGCGAGAATTCATCAGAACCAGGATGAGTGTGGAGGAGCAGCTGGAGAGGATGAGGAGGAACCAGGAGGCTTCATCGCTCCGAGAGAAGAGGAGAGGAACGCTGTCTCGCTCGTCCTCCTTCAACAGAGACAGTACCGGCCTCCACCTGCAGGTGACGCTGCGCACCAACAGCAGGGGGCAGTTGGAGGTCCTGGGTTTGGTCTGGAGGGCGATGCAAGTGGTGGACATTCTGGTTCTGACTGGAACCAGCCCAGTCAGAGCCCCCACCCCTAACCCCCACCCCCACCCAACCCTCCACCCCCTCCTCCTTCATTAAACATTCATCATCAGGGGAGGGTTAGAGTTCAGCTCAGGGTTACCTTGGATACGGTGATGGAGGAGGGAGTGGATCCATCCCAACAGAACCTTTGTCTAAATCTGCAGAAACCTGAGGAGCTTCAGCAGGAGAAGGCCGAGGAGGTGCAGCCAGCGGGGGAGGTGCAGCCAGCGGGGGAGGTGCAGCCAGCGGGGGAGGTGAAGCCAGCGGAGGAGGTGAAGCCAGCGGAGGAGGTGAAGCCAGCGGAGGACTTGCAACCAGCAGACACATCCAATCAAATGGTAAACAAAGGCTGCTTTGTCCAATCAGAGGTTAGAAATCAGAGGAGGATTGATTAAATGTTTCTGAAGGCCGAATAAAAGATCAAACAGAATATCTGAGACCTGAGAAACATCGAAAAGTGGAGTTAATTTGATGGCAGTCTCTCCAGGGGGCGCTATAACTCTAAAATAGACTTTCAGTTTCCTTTCACTTTTGTTAAAGCACCAATTTACACATAAACTAACACATCACATAAGTGTGATCATCATCGGTGCTCGACTGTTAAACAGACATGCAGCGCTTCAAGCAGCCTGTCCCCCAGTCTAACCCTGGTCTTTAATGTTCAGCAGTCTAAGTCTGGTCTTTAATGTTCAGCAGTCTAACCCTGGTCTTTAATGTTCAGCAGTCTAACTCTGGTCTTTAATGTTCAGCAGTCTAAGTCTGGTCTTTAATGTTCAGCAGTCTAACCCTGGTCTTTAATGCTCTGCAGTCTAACCCTGGTCTTTAATGCTCTGCAGTCTAACCCTGGTCTTTAATGCTCTGCAGTCTAACTCTGGTCTTTAATGTTCAGCAGTCTAAGTCTGGTCTTTAATGTTCAGCAGTCTAAGTCTGGTCTTTAATGTTCAGCAGTCTAACCCTGGTCTTTAATGCTCTGCAGTCTAACCCTGGTCTTTAATGCTCTGCAGTCTAACTCTGGTCTTTAATGTTCAGCAGTCTAACTCTGGTCTTTAATGTTCAGCAGTCTAAGTCTGGTCTTTAATGTTCAGCAGTCTAACTCTGGTCTTTAATGTTCAGCAGTCTAAGTCTGGTCTTTAATGTTCAGCAGTCTAACCCTGGTCTTTAATGCTCTGCAGTCTAACCCTGGTCTTTAATGCTCTGCAGTCTAACTCTGGTCTTTAATGTTCAGCAGTCTAAGTCTGGTCTTTAATGTTCAGCAGTCTAACTCTGGTCTTTAATGTTCAGCAGTCTAAGTCTGGTCTTTAATGTTCAGCAGTCTAAGTCTGGTCTTTAATGTTCAGCAGTCTAACCCTGGTCTTTAATGCTCTGCAGTCTAACTCTGGTCTTTGATGTTCAGCAGTCTAAGTCTGGTCTTTAATGTTCAGCAGTCTAAGTCTGGTCTTTAATGTTCAACAGTCTAAGTCTGGTCTTTAATGTTCAGCAGTCTAAGTCTGGTCTTTAATGTTCAGCAGTCTAACCCTGGTCTTTAATGCTCTGCAGTCTAACCCTGGTCTTTGATGTTCAGCAGTCTAACTCTGGTCTTTGATGTTCAGCAGTCTAAGTCTGGTCTTTAATGTTCAGCAGTCTAAGTCTGGTCTTTAATGTTCAGCAGTCTAACCCTGGTCTTTAATGCTCTGCAGTCTAACCCTGGTCTTTAATGCTCTGCAGTCTAACTCTGGTCTTTGATGTTCAGCAATCTAAGTCTGGTCTTTAATGTTCAGCAGTCTAACCCTGGTCTTTAATGCTCTGCAGTCTAACCCTGGTCTTTAATGTTCAGCAGTCTAACTCTGGTCTTTAATGTTCAGCAGTCTAACTCTGGTCTTTAATGTTCAGCAGTCTAAGTCTGGTCTTTGATGTTCAGCAGTCTAACTCTGGTCTTTGATGTTCAGCAGTCTAAGTCTGGTCTTTAATGTTCAGCAGTCTAAGTCTGGTCTTTAATGTTCAGCAGTCTAAGTCTGGTCTTTAATGCTCTGCAGTCTAACCCTGGTCTTTAATGCTCTGCAGTCTAACTCTGGTCTTTGATGTTCAGCAGTCTAACTCTGGTCTTTAATGTTCAGCAGTCTAAGTCTGGTCTTTAATGTTCAGCAGTCTAAGTCTGGTCTTTAATGTTCAGCAGTCTAAGTCTGATCTTTAAAGCTCTTCAGTCTAACTCTGATCTTTATGTTCAGCAATCTAAGTCTGGTCTTTAATGCTCTGCTGTCTAACCCTGGTCTTTAATGCTCTGCAGTCTAACTCTGGTCTTTGATGTTCAGCAATCTAAGTCTGGTCTTTAATGCTCTGCAGTCTAACTCTGGTCTTTGATGTTCAGCGAGTCTAAGTCTGGTCTTTAATGTTCAGCAGTCCTAAGTCTGGTCTTTAATGTTCAGCAGCTCTAAGGTCTGGTCTTTAATGCTCTGCAGCTAACCCTGGTCTTTAATGCTCTGCAGTCTAACTCTGGTCTTTGATGTTCAGCAGTCTAACTCTGGTCTTTAATGTTCAGCAGTCTAAGTCTGGTCTTTAATGTTCAGCAGTCTAAGTCTGGTCTTTAATGTTCAGCAGTCTAAGTCTGATCTTTGATGTTCAGCAATCTAAGTCTGGTCTTTAATGCTCTGCAGTCTAACCCTGGTCTTTAATGCTCTGCAGTCTAACTCTGGTCTTTAATGTTCAGCAATCTAAGTCTGGTCTTTAATGCTCTGCAGTCTAACTCTGGTCTTTAATGTTCAGCAGTCTAAGTCTGGTCTTTAATGTTCAGCAGTCTAAGTCCGATCTTTGATGTTCAGCAATCTAAGTCTGGTCTTTAATGTTCTGCAGTCTAACCCTGGTCTTTAATGCCCTGCAGTCTAACTCTGGTCTTTAATGTTCAGCAGTCCCTGTCGTCTTTTTCACCGTATGATGTGTTTCAGATGTGTGGGAGCCAGAGGGTGGTCATCGTGGACCTCGGTACCGAGCCAAAGCGTGTTGAGATGGTCAACCTTCACCCCTATGAGGATGATGAGAGCAAAGGTCCAGATCTAAGCAGCTCTCCCAGCAGCATCACTGAAATCAGGTGGGTGGAGTGGATGAGAGGCTGAGCAGCACCACAGAACATAGATCTACAAAAAACCTACGGTGGCCCTGAAGTGCAAACTGCAACTACAAATCTAAAAGCGCAATTACATTTAGGAAAACACAATTACATAAAGCAAAGCGCAACTACGTTTAGGAAAACACAATTACATTAACCTACCGGAAAAGGTAGGTACCAGTGAGAAACATGAGACATCGCTGATTGGACGACGGTGCCGTTTGACCCTTGAACCGGAAGTCATTCTGCCTGCTGCAGCTTTTGAGAACATGGATATTGTCGGCGCCCCAAACATAGCTGCCGTTATCCAGGAATATTTTGAATCAGGACATACGTACGAGGTGATACTGGATATGCTCAAGACTAATCACGAAATTTCAGTTAGTTTGCGTACACTGAAGACACACTTAAAAGAAGCTGGACTGTTCAGACGACGCAACTTCCGGTTCAAGGGTCAAACGGCGCCGTCGTCCAATCAGCGATGTCTCATGTTTCCCACTGGTACCTACCTTTTCTGTTAAGTTAATGTAATTGTTTTTCTTAATCTAGTTGCGCTTTGCTTTATGTAGTTGCGATTTCCTTAATGTAATTGCGCTTTTAGATTTGTAGTTGCAGTTTGCACTTCATGGCCTCCGTAAAAACCAGAACAGGAAGTGACAAAGTACCCCTTACCGTCAGGCGTACTGATCCTGATTGATCTGTCTCAACTATCCCCCTACAGGTCATTCTGAGTACTAACCTGGCTGATATCTGGGGCTGATCTTGGATGATGTCATGTGCTGCCTTTTTCTGGAACCTTCAGATTCGCTTTTCTTATGAAAAAAAATGATTTATTGAATGGACTGAGTGCAGATCTTACTGAGCCTTTATCGGGATCATGGAGGCATCAGAATGCAGCCGTCAGTACCAACATTCAGGATTAGATTAGATTAGATTCAACTTTATTGTCATTACACAGGTACAGGTACAAGGCAACGAAATGCAGTTTAGGTCTAAGCTATCTAAATTAAAGTGCAGTGGAAGGTAATTGCATATTACAGTTAAAGTACTTTATTGCAGATGTAAATGTAAACAGTTGATACTGGGAATAAACAGTCAGCAGTGCAAATCAATATTCAGTCAAGGTAGTGCAAGATGCTTGTACGTAGGCAGCGTTTCTCCTGGATGTGCTCAATGGTGGCTAGTGAAGTTCCAGTGATGCGCTGGGCGGCTTTCACCACCCGCTGCAGTGCCTTGCGCTCTGCAACAGAACAGCTTCCGTACCGCACTGTTACACAGCTGCTTAGGATGCTTTCTATTGCACAGCGATAGAAGTTCACCAGGATAGTTGGATTCCAACTATCCTGGTGAACTGGAGAATGTTGGAGACGGAGCAACTGGATAAACGGCTCAAACTGATGCTGCTGTGTTTTCCTTAGAGAGAAAACCTTCAAACATTTCATCTGTCTGGATGATCTGATTGATCTGGATTCATAAAGTGACCCGAGATCATCTGTTGGTAATGGGAGCTATAGAAAGAAAAGGAACAGAACTGAAAAGAGAAATACTTCAACTTTTCTTTTTATTTTTATTTAGGGACTTGATGTTGATCTCTGATTAATTCTCCTTCTGCTAAACAGCTTTCAGACACCAAGCCCTGACTTTAAGGAGCAGGAATCAGACGGGAGCCAAACTCTGAGCCAGGAGGAGCTGATTGGGACGAGTCTGGATTCATACAAACAGCTGACTGGAGACGGCACGAAACGCAACATCAACAACATGTTAGCTGGTAGGAAAAAAATTAATCCAGGGACAGATTAGGGCTTCATCAGACTATGTTGAAAAATGACCCACATTGAGCTGCAGTGAGACAGGATCCATTCATCAGACTAATCAGAGATCTCTAATACAGCAGTTTCAAACAGACTTGGACTCTGAATGCTCAGCCTTGTTCTGCAGTCAGTCCACTCCACGTCCTACGGGGGATCCAGAGAGGAAATGTTTAGCTGTGTTTATGGGTTAAAAATAAATTTTGGCTGAATAAAATAATCAGAGAGGATTGAACCAGTAGTAAACAGACTGAAATCAAAACTTAAAAAAAAATTATTTTAATGGTAATACAGCATAGTCTGATAATGACCTACTGTCATACACTGCAAAAAATGTAAATCTAAATAAGTAATTTTTTCTTAAAATAAGTGCGTTTTATCCTGATTTGAGGAGATAAATGAGACACTTTGCCAATGGAGCAAGACAATTTACATTTGAAATAAGAAAAATCAAGTGCATTGTCTTATTTCAAGTGCATATTATCTAATTAACTTATTTTAAGTGTAAAAATACTCATCCCATTGGCAAACCATCTTATTTACCTGCTCAAATTAAGGGTAAATACACTTGATTTAAGAAAGTTTTACTTAATTTTAGATTGTTGTTGCAGTTATGAACTCTTCTCTAGTTAGAATTCTTCTGTTTGTTCTCATTCAATGCCAAATGTCAGCAAAAGGTCCAGAGTATGAAGAGAAGAGTAAGTAGATCCGTGGATTTTTGGAGTAGATCGTGGATTTTGGAGTAGATCCGTGGATTTTTGGAGTAGATCCGTGGATTTTTGGAGTAGATTGTGGATTTTTGGAGTAGATCCGTGGATTTTTGGAGTAGATCCGTGGATTTTGGAGTAGATCCGTGGATTTTTGGCGTTAAAGGCTCTGAGTTTCAGTGTCTGCATGGATGAGCGTGACAAGCACCCCTAGAGGCCCATTTGCCATGAAATGCTAAACCAAAACAAAATGATCACCCAAACCTTAGACAGCGACAGCTTGTCACGAAACTAAACACAGACAGTTTCCTAGGCCAATGTATATGTTATCAATTTTTCCCATATTTCTTTAAAATTAGCTTTTTTCTCCACTGTGAAAAACGGTGAATTAAATTAGCTGCAAAGGTGTCTCTGTCTGGGAAAGGAACCGTCAATAGATCAGGGATCATCTCTGTTCAACCACCTGCCTGAGAGCCTCAGTCTGGACAACCCCCCCCCCCCCCCATGGCTCACCTGGTCCCCATAGATCTGCTGAGCTCAGCGTTAGCTTTCACAGAACATTAACATGAAATATTCTTAATGGATGTTTTTTTGTAAATTCTTTTTTTAGTCGATGCAGTTTGAGTGCCAGTCCTTCTGATGTCCTCGTCTCTTTGCTCACAATCTGAGATTTTTACCTTTGTCGACAGAAGGCAAAAAATGGCTCCTAAGAATACACAGGGTTTGTCATGCGACCTCTGAACTTTGTGGATGGGTGGATTCTGTCACTATTTAACAGTAAACAGACAGATGTAAATATTGACCCTAACGACCTGATGGACGATACAAAGCAACAAACAGAAGAGATCTGCAGTTTGAATGAAAACATAGAGAAGACAGAGATCCATGGAGTCATTAATCAGCCTAGCATTAATGTCGCTCCAACTTTAGAACTTCAATTCAATTCAATTCAGTTTATTTATATAGCGCCAAATTCACAACACATGTCATCTCAAGGCACTTTACAGTTCAACCAGATCATACAGTCAAATTGATACAAAGTTTTCTATCTAAGGAAAACCAGTTGATTGCATTGACTCATTGACTCAAATACAATCCCCCACACTAAGCATGCTTGTAGCGACAGTGGAGAGGAAAAACTCCCTTTTAACAGGAAGAAACCTCCAGCAGAACCAGGCTCAGTGTGAGCGGCCATCTGCCGAGGCCGACTGGGGTTCAAGGAGACAGAAGCAGAGATACAAAAAGCAGCTGTAAAAGGCGGCCCCGTCCAGGAAACACACAGCCAGGCAGACGAGCTCCAAGGCAGCTCCCATGCCAGAGGACGAAGAGAGCACATCCACTCAGTCACGGTCAGAGAAACAGGACCACACTGGAAAACAGGCCGATCTCCAACATCTATTAACAAGGGTGTTGATAGAAGCAGCACAGCTGATGTTTTTTTCCAGGATGACGTCACAGCCAAACAGGAACAGACGAGGCAAAGCTACTCTGAGGAAAAGCAGAGAGAGCAGAAGGTTAGAGATTGAACTAACAGATTCTGCAGAATAGGAGAACAGAGAGAGAATGAAGCAGAATGATGAAATGGGGGGTCCCTATGTCCTCCAAAAGTCTAAGCCTATAGCAGCATAACTATAGAGATAGCTCAGGATAACCTGAGCCACCCTAACTATAAGCTTTATCAAAAATGAAAGTTTTAAGCCTAGCCTTAAAAGTAGACAGGGTGTCTGCCTCACGGACTAAAACTGGTAGTTGGTTCCACAGGAGAGGAGCCTGATAACTAAAAGATCTGCCTCCCATTCTGCTTTTAGAAATTCTAGGAACCACTAGTAAACCTGCAGATTGAGAGCGAAGTGCTCTGTTAGGAACATAAGGAACAATCAGATCTCTGATATAAGATGGAGCTTGGCCATTTAAGGCTTTATATGTGAGAAGGAGGATTTTAAATTCTATTCTTGATTTAACAGGAAGCCAATGAAGAGAAGCCAGGATAGGAGAGATATGATCTCTCTTTTTCATTTTCATTAGAACTCTGGCTGCAGCATTTTGGATCAGCTGAAGGCTTTTAACTACAGTTTGTGGACTTCCTGATAGTAAAGAATTACAATAGTCCAGCCTTGAAGTAACAAATGCATGGACTAGTTTCTCAGCATCACCCCTGGACAGGATATTTCTAATTTTTGCAATGTTCCTCAGATGAAAGAAGGAAATTCTAGAAACCTCTTTGATATGGGATTTAAATGACAGGTCCTGATCAAAAATAACACCAAGATTTTTTACTTTATTATCTGAAATCAGTTTAATCCCATCCAAATGAAGTGACTGGCTAATCAGTTTCTTTTTCAGAGACTCTGGTCCAAAGACTATAACTTCTGTTTTGTCTGCATTCAGAAGCAGAAAATTAAGAGTCATCCAGGTTTTTATGTCTTCAAGACATGCCTGTAATCTATGTAATGGGTTAGCTTCATCTGGATTTATAGACAGATATAGCTGGGTATCATCAGCATAACAGTGGAAATTAATCCCATGCTGTCTAATAATTCTACCAATTGGGAGCATGTATAAAGTAAAGAGAATTGGTCCTAGCACTGATCCTTGTGGTACTCCACAGGTAACCTTTGAGCGTGTTGAAGATCTATCATTAACATGAACAAACTGAATTCGATCAGATAGATAAGATTTAAACCAGTCTAGTGCTGTTCCTTTAATTCCAACAAAATATTCAAGTCTTTCTAAAAGAATATTATGGTCAACTGTATCAAATGCAGCACTAAGATCCAACAGGACGAGCACAGATACAAGTCCATTATCTGAGGCCATGAGAATATCATTAGTGACTTTCACCAGAGCTGTTTCAGTGCTATGATATGCTCTAAAGCCAGACTGAAACTCTTCAAAAAGTTCATTATGGTGGAAGTGATCGCAAACTTGTTTGGCAACTACTTTCTCAAGAATTTTGGATAAGAAAGGAAGATTGGATATAGGTCTATAATTGACCAAGTCATCTGGGTCAAGAGACGGTTTCTTAAGCAGAGGTTTAATTACAGCAATCTTAAAAGCTTTAGGTACATATCCCTGTAACAGAGATAGATTAATCACATCTAAAATGGAGGAGGAGATCAAAGGGAATACCTCCTTAAATAACCTGATTGGAACTGGATCTAACATACAAGTTGAAGGCTTAGATGAAGACAATAATTTTGCTAATTCAGAGAGTTCAACTGGATCAAAGCAGTCTAAACCCGGTTCAGATTCCATGACTACCTCAGGTACAATCGCGGATAGAGGAGTGACTTATGATCTTATTTTTAATAGATCAATCTTATTTTAAAGAATCCATAAAATCCCCCCTTCTAACCTCCATGGCTCAAACCAAGACGCCTCCACTCAAACTAAATGCCCCCCCCCCCCCCCCCCCCCCCCAGCTCTTCCAAGTTAGGAACCTTGCAGCTGTGATGGTAAACAGGAAGGCTCCAGGCCGGCTGCTGATGCCTAGCTAAGCGCTGCGCCGCCATGCTAACATGATCATCCTGGTCCCGTATGGAGAAGCGGCGCCCGCTGACAGGTCTCATATCCATGCAGTGCTTTAATTCACGCCCAAGTGACCGCCGAAGCTGAAGATCAGATTTCTGTGTAGTTTGAATCTGAAGGCTTCATGTTTTCTCCGCCTTCAGAACAGGTTATCATTTACTGTCATATATGCAGATGATATATATAGAAATTTACAGTATATATATATGTAAATCCAATATGAAGCCAGTTTTCCTTCAGAATGGTGCCACTTCATGCTGCTGCTCTTTCTATTCCCTTTTCAGAGGACTAACGGTGTTTTGTAATATTTATTTGGATCATCTGTTGGAGAGCATGCAGTGATCCCAACGTTCTGCTTCGTCTGGTTTCCTCTGTCTTTGCTTTGCTGTCAGACGGCTGTGAATAGCTGTGACGGGTAGCCGATAGCACACACACCAAGCAATAAGGAGGACGACATGTTTAAACTGTAAACAATCCACTGAAAGGAGAAAAGAAAAGATCTAAGATCTGAATATGAGAGCCGATATTATCAGATGTTAACATGATTAGAGAGAATATGCAAAAAGATCAGAACCCATCAGTTTTATAATGTGTGAAATAAATGTTGACGTTCCTACAAGTTCCGCCTCTTCATGGATGAATGATGGATGGATGTTAATAAATGGATCAATGAATGAATGGATGGATGATGAATAACTGAACTGATTTCATTTTGGCTTTTGTCACCTGGTAGAGAGGAAAAATGCCTCTTTCTGATCTGATGTTGAATTTC